AAAAATAACAACAACAACAACTGCCCCTATCCTTCCTCCCTCTCGCCATTTTCCGCCTTTACCTTTCGCCGCTTTTCTGTTCTTGTTTTATGGCTTTCTTGTCGGTTTTTCTTTCTCGTTGGGTCTCTCCTCTTGTCAGTTCTCTTTTCTGGCCGGTTTGTTTTCTGGTCAGATTTTTCTCCTTGGTCAAGTTTGTATGAACCTTTCTTACTGGTTGTTTCATCCTTTCTTCGTTCCTCCTCATAATGTCTTGGATTTCACATCTTCTATTTCATTTTCTTCCGCAATTTACAGACATGGTGTTTCGGGTAAATTTGGGATATGAACTTGGCAAGCAACCGACGGAAGGAAGGAAGAGCTAGCTTATACAGCAAGCCAGAAAGACATGGGCGAGCAATCGCACCCCAGAGCGAGACAAAAAAAATAGAGGAAAGAAGACATACGCAAGGATACACTTCAGGCATCACTGACGGAAGGAGCAAGGCGTCGATAGAAGGAAACACATGTAAATGAATGAATACATGGATAGATGGATAGATGGATAGATGGATGGATGGATGGATGGATGGAGAAATGGAAGAATGGAAGAATGGAAGAATTGGATAACAACGATCGGCGACAATAGATTATTAACACATATGGATTGGGCTTGGGTTTGTAGCGATGTTTTGGCTTGGATTTACATATTCGGTTTGTAATTTACAAAGCTGAGCGGCACATTCATTTGATCAGCGAGTGGAATGCCGTGTAGAGGTACCTTGTTTGACACGGCAGGTGGTGACTTCCTTTCTTTCAAAGCAATGGATGAACAGGACTTAAGAATGGGTTAGTGTACACTTTGTGGTTCTTGCTGAGATGGAGGAGGGGGGAAGTGGTCTTGGATTTCAGTGGGACAGGAACGCCAGATACAGCATTAGGCATCGATAGTCAGTCAGTCGGTCTTTCCTTCCTCGGCAGGGGGAAAAAGAAGGGGAGGCAGGAGGGGAAAGGAAGAAGGGGAAAGGAGGGGTGTCAAGTCACTGTTGGCCTTAACAAATCAAGGCTTGGCTGTATTGCAAATTGACACAGATTTGGGAGCGGTGGGCGATGACGGCGAACAAATGGGTTATAATTTACTTTGGTTTAGCAGTTTGACGATGTAATGTTAAGGGTTATTGTAACACAACATAAGCATATGGAGAGCCAAGATATCATTCATCACACTCTGACTCGGACTCCCGCCAACGGTCATCACCGACCACTGACTCAGTCAACATCATCATCCCCTCCGCTCCCTCCCGTCGGGCCATCACCAAGTTTGACACCCTCCAGCTTCCCCCTCGCCTCCTCCATCGCCTTGTCCTCATCAAACCCGTCCTTATCTCCATCCTTCTTCGCAGCTCCATTCCCACTTGCGTGAGCGTCCGTAGAGGTAGCCTTGGCACCATCAGTCTCATTCTTCCCACCACCACTAGCCCTAGCAGTAGCCTTCAACGCCTCGGGCTTGAGCGTGCCGTCTTCGTTCACCATGTCGTTCGGGTAGAGCGTAAACAAAATGACGAGGTAGGGCTTTTTGGTGAGGCGGTTGCGGAGGACGTATCTATTTTGCCCGGGTTGTTAGTTACAATTGACATTAACATTCCACAAGGAAAACAACAGCTGACGAGAAACAAGATAATGCGCAAAGAGGCAAAAAAGACAGAGGGCAAGATGGAAAGGGAAAGGAAAGAAAGGGAAATGATAGGGTCCCCCAGAGAAATCAGACGACCGAAAAAAAAGACGAGCATAGAGAAAGAAAGAAGAAAAGAAACATACCTCAACCCAGTCTCGCCATCCCAATACCTCAACACATTAACCCCAAACCCTGGCAATTTCAGCTCGCACTTGCCAAAGTCAATGTACGGGTTATAAAAGTCGACGCTGTACGTGCGTCCATATTCCCACACCCATTTCTTTTTGGAATCTTCCTTCAACGCCCACTTCTGCCGCTTCTTAGCATCATTTCCAACCCACGATCCCTTAAGGACCTCCTCTCTCCATTTCTTGCCAGATGTGCGTTTGGGTTTGTTGTTGTTGTTGTTGTTGTGTCAGAGAGGTTGCAGTCCATGCTATCTGAGGGTCTTGTCAGTGGAAGTTTGTTTCTTATCGTTCTTGTCCGTTTTGGGGCAATAGGTGTTGGTAGTGTTGGTGTTGTTGCTGTTGCTGGCGGAGGACGACTCGGACGCATTGATGTGTTGTTGTTGCTGTTGTCGTTGGTGCCATTGTCGCTGCTCTTCGCTTTTGCCGTTGCTGCTTTTTTGTCGTCCTCGCCACTCTCATCCTCAGATTCGGACTCAGACTCCGATGAAGAAGCACCCTCCTCGACCCAAAGCCCACACCCCCCCTCTTCATCGTGTTCCCCGGCCCCAACGCGGACAGAATTGAAAGAGCTAAGTGCCGGCCCATACAAAAACGGTTCATCAGCATATGCGTCCCCCTCTAGTCCAGGGTCGATCCACCATTTCAGAATGTTCATTGCTGTGTTCACGCCTGGAGGGAGGTAATTGCGGATGGGGTGGTCGAAGTCGTTGCCGAATTGGAGGTCTGAGGCTGGGATTCCCTGCGGTTGATGTCCTTCTTGGTCTGTTTCTGCTTCTCCCTCTTCTTTGACGTCCTTTTCATTGTTGACCATGCTGCCACGTCCTTCACTTGCTTCTGTTGCTGCTGACCCATTCTCATCCCTATTCCCGTTCCCGCTACCATTCACCTTAGCTTTGCTGTTGCCGTGTGATGGTGCCTTGGGCGTGAATTGGAGTCCGATAGAGTATTGATCCTTATTATACCTATGAGGCTCCCTCTCGAAATAAGGCGATGTCTCATTCGACCCCCTCGGCAGACCACGGTAGTTTTGAATGCGCACGTTCAGATCAATGTCCATTCCCTCTAGAGACTCGATGTGGGTTAGGCGGGAAGAATTGATGGGGACTTCGACGTGTGTTGAGAGGTCGTAGGTTGGACCGGCGGTTACGCGGAGGGTGTAATCTTCTGGTTTTCTCGGAGGGGCCATGGTTGCGGTTTTTGTTTGTGGATTCCTCTTGGGTGCTATGCTCTTTCTTTCGGTGGGCCAAGATCTTGCTGGGTTTGGGCTGTGGTTGGTAAGGTTTTGTGATATTTTCCGTGTGGTTGTTGTGTTGTGGTAGGTGAGTGTCTGGTGAGTATTTGAGGAGTGTCCGGATGGTATCAAAGACTGGCAACCACGGCGATGGATTGTCAGAAGTAACGTCGACAAAATGAGGTTACTGTACGGAGATAGACTTGAGAAAGAAGTGTGAAGGTCAATCGAGAACAAGATGAAAAATGTGGTACCGCAACAAAGACAAACAAACGAACGACGTCGTCATTGCTGCCAAGAAATCGTTCCACAGGGACCTGGCCGATGACGTCGCGGGGTTGGGATGATCCGCTGGTAGGGCTGTTGCATGTGATTCAGACACTGGTGCTGGCACGTCAACAGGAATGGGGGCTGTAACTACCTGGTGTTGTTAGTGCGATAACACGGACACCACACCACGATTACCTTGACTTCTCACCTCAGCTACGAGTGTGTTAACACTCGGCAGCGCTCGACTTGAACGAATATGTGCATTCTCAAGTAGTATAATGAACTGCCAGAATACGCTTTTCTAGTATCGCTGATGATGTTCCTCACTGTAAACATGTGCAATCACGGCCAAGCCAGACAGACCATGACGATATCAATCCCGTCTATTCATTCTCCACCTTCCACCGTCCATCTACACCTCGTCTATCTTCCCCATCATCATTCCTCATCATCCGCCTCGGCATCAGTAAAGTACTCAAACTCCGCTGGCGTCTGCGCCTCCTCGTCACCCTCACCATCCTCATCAACAGCCATCAACACCGCCGCAGCAGCAGCCGCGCCAGCACCGCTTCCCGCCGCGGCACCACGTCCACTGCTCGCAGCAGCAGTTCTCTCCTCGAATCCAGCACCAGCACCAGCATCTACCTCACGCTGGCCAAGTTGCAGCAACTCGCTAAGTTCCCGCATACTAGACCCGTTGAAAGGCCGGTTCCTTGGAGCTGGCTGAGAAGGGATTGGGCAGCACTGGTGTTGAGACGGGGGGTTCCGTCGTTGGAACCGGAAGCACTGGCTCCGGCGACAGGGGCGCGCTCAGTGGTGACCTTGTTGAGCTTTTCCTCGACCAGCGACTTGGCCTCCGAAGGCTGGGTATCGAAGAGGAGGAGAGGACCACCGGTGGGCTGCACGTAGTTAGCATACTTGAGTAGTTGTGTAGTTAGGAAAGGAATGACCCACCTTCTTGACTGGCTTATAACGTCCAGCCGGGAAGCTAATGTACTTGAGCTGACCGGGCAAGATACGAGACATGTTGTCAATCTCGTATCCAACCTTCTCCTTCTCGGCCTTCTTCTTGGCCTCGGTGGCGGCGGTCGTCTCCTTATCCTCACCCTCCTTCTTCTCCTTGGACTCTTCAGGCTTGGCGACGACCTTCTTATCTTCGTCGATATCCATCTTGTCCTCGGCAGCAGCAGCTTGGGTGGTCTTGGCGACAGCCGGCGTGTCGATATCCATGCTCTCACGACGCTGGGCCTTCTCCTTCTTTTGAGCGCGACGCTTGGCCTGCGCCGTGGTGGACAAAACAGCAGTGGTGACCAAGGCGGGTCCCTCCTCCACCTTGACCTCCTGCTCTGGTGGGTAGTCGAACAAGCTGGGACGAGTGGCGCAGTGGAACTTGGTGTTGGGGATGGCGAGATCGGAGTCGAGAGCAATGATGGACGTGGGGACAAAGCTGAGCGACAAGAAGTGGGTGAAGGGGAACCAGTACCAGTACTGGGTGAACACAGCCATACCAACAATACCGGCCATGTTGAGGTTGCCAGTCTGGGTCTGGAGGCCAATGGTGCAATTGCGGCCACCGGCGTCAATGATACCAAGGGCGAGCGAGGCGCCGAACTTGGTCATCTGCTCCTCGTGACGGTCGCTGACAACCTTCTTGAGCGTCTTCCTGATGGCGGCAACCTTGGGGTTCATAACCTCGTTCTGCTGAACCAAGATCATGGCCAGAGCAATAAGGGCACCCTGGCGGACAAAGTCGGTGGGGTCCTTCATCATGGGCTCGAGCAGGTCGATCGCCTCATCCAAACCAGTACCGGCGCACGCGATACCGAGGGCCATGGCCGAACCATAGCGCACATGAGGGTTGTAAGACTCGGCAAGCAACTCGACCATGCGAGGAACGCTGCCGGGCTTGCGGAAGAGGATGAAACCCAAGCTCATGACGGCAACACGGCGGACGTCATCGTTCACGTCGCTGACAGCAAGGTGGAGGAGCTTGCGGATAGCCTTGTTGCTGCCGGTTCCGCAGTAGGCCATGGCAAGGGTGAGAACACCACCATAGCGGAGGATAGGGTCAGGGTTGGCAAGGAGCATCTGGATTGTCCTGTCGGCACTCTCCTGCTGTCCAAACATGATGAGGGCAATACCCAAGGCAATACCGCGGACAATCTTCTCGTGCTGAGTCTCGTGGGCGTAGGTGAACATGGCATCAATGGTGGGGGCATGTCCGGTTCCCAGCATGATCAGACCCATAGCGGCACCAACGGCCTCACCGTTGAGAGCAGAATCCGAGTAGAGAGCTTCCTTGAGATCCTCAATGATCCTTTGGTCGCCAGTGCCCATACCGGCAATACCCAGACCCAAAGCGCCACCGTGCTGAATGACCTCCTGATCGGCGTCCTTGAACTGTTGGTGAAGGTAGGCCAGAGCATCAGCACCGTGGTTGGCGTGGATCAGACCGTAAGCGTAGAGGGCACCAGCCTGGCTGTAGATGGAACCAGTGCTGACGCCGGAGGGACGGGGAAGGTAGGGCTCGAGGAGCTTGCGAGACTGGGTGACGTTGCCACGGTGAAGAACACCAAGCGCGGCGGTGGCTGTGAACTTGGACCAGTTGACCGCCCTTCCTAGCCACTCGAGGTTATCCCTGAAGAACCTGTCATTAGTAGTGCCAGCGTTCATAAAGGCATTGCAGAAGGTGACGGCGCTGTGGAAGATGGAGTTGCGACCATCCAAGCTGTCGCGGACCTTGTTGAGAATGCTCATATCGGTGTGGTTGTTGCGGTAGAGGAATTCGAGGTTAAGCTTGATGGCCTTGCTTCCGTCGAGAATCTTGCGGATGTTCTTGTAGACCTTGGCCACCTCCTCGGACAGTTCCTCCTCGGAGCTTTCCTGGCCTTCCAGAAGAGGCTCACTTTCGGCAGCCGCATCGCTGGATTCAGCCTTGGGCTTGGCCGGCTCGCCGGAGGGCAGCGCCTTGATGACCTTGCCCAAGAATTCCTGGGTGCCGTTGTCGTAAAGATCGAAGGCGATTTGGTAGGCAATGGCGATCGAGTCCTGTTCTCCCTTGGTCACAAGCTGGCGGAGCATGCGAGACGCCTCCTCGTCCGAATCAAGATAGACAACGCACTTGGCGATGGCGAAGTAATCCGGGTTGGGAATATCGTTTAGGAGATCAAGGATCAGGCGCAGAATCTCGGTGCGGAAGCCGCGTTCCTGGACAATGTCCATGCAGATGCCAAGGGCATAGTCCATGAGCTCCTCAGCCGGCCCCTGGCTACCTTCCTGTACCTTGGTCTTGCCGGACTTGACATCCTCGCTGGCGCGCTTGATGACGCGACGCAGAACATCAAGGTTCTTGGCCTCGACAGCAATACCCACCACCTGTCTGTATTTGCCCTCCTTGAGGCAGTTCTCGAACAGGCGCTCGATGATGTTCTGAAGCGCAACCTGAGTGGCGGTATCGTGAACCTGGGCTATCGAGGCGGAGCGGGTCTCCTTGGTGGGCTGGAAGGTGGGATCCAGGATGGTGTTGTCGTCGGACGATGCGCGCGCAAGGAGGGACTTGGAAGGAACCGAGGATTGCGAGAAGGGCGTGGTGGGGGAAATGAGAGCCGAGCTATCGATGGCACCGCTGCCGATATCGGTCGAGAGGGTGGGCAGGTCCTTCTTGGAAGGAGTGTGGTGGAGAGACGAGACGGCGATGTACTGGTCGATGCACTTGGAGATGATGGTCTCCTCGAACTCGCTGGGGGCGTCGAGCTTGAAGAGGGGGCCGGCAGCAAGGGCAAAGGTCATGCTCTCATTGTAGGCCTGGAGGTGGAAGTAGACCTTGGCGAGAACAAGGGCGGCAAGTTGGCGCTCAGGGAAGGTCTCGTCTTCGTAGAGGGCCTCACTGTGGGAGAAGAGACAGACAGATCAGCTCAGTTGCCCCAGCTTCAGCTAGCTTGGCATCGTCGGGGTATCAGGGAGCTACTCACATCTGGGTCAACGCGCCAGCGACCTCGGTCCAAACGGTGTCGATATCATCGTTGAGGGTCTTGAGGGCGAAGACCTTGAGCTCGGGCTCCTCGTCGGCGAGGAAGGCCAAAACGCCCGTCGCGGTGACGAGGCCGGGCATCGTGATGATGATAAAAAGAAGTGGGATGAGGCGAGCTTCGCGGTGGCGGTTTCTGGTCGTCCGAGGGAGAGGGACTGTTTATATCGGGGGTGTTTATTAAAGTCGGGTTGTTGTAGAAAATCAGCGTCCTCGTGCGCCGCGTCGGTGGTGGTGATGGGATATGGAGCTTGGGTTGTTTGTTGGGCGAGGAATGGATCGAGCTGAAATCGGGATCAGTTGTTGCCGTCAAGGTTGGGATGCCAGTGTCACCCAGCAGTGATGGCTTCAGTGAGCAGTGGGCAGCGATGGAGCTGGCGGGCGCTGGAACGGGAGGAGCTGGTTGGCTGGTTGGAGCCTGCCGTGGTTTGTAGTGACGAACTGACGGCCGAGCATCCACGTCAGGGAGCTCCTGCCTTGAGTGGGTCCCTTGCTGGCAGAGGTACCTGGGTACTTGAAATGACAAACCAATGGGAAAGGGAACGGAAGGTGAGATATTCCATTTTGAAGGGAGGTACGTACCTTATCTTGCCTTATCTTCTGCCAGCTCCAAGTGTGCACGAGCCAGCAAGCTCAACGAGACAGGCCGAAAGCGTTGAAGCTCGTTGCTCTCTTCTCCAATTCAGATCCCAAAGACTCCAGATTCCAAAGACAAGTCTAGTCGAGACTGAAAACCCACCAAAGAGATGGAGCTATCTGACGGTACCTAGCACTTCACGCACCATTGCAAGAGTCAAGTTATGAACCAAAATCACAATTCAATCATGTTATTATTAATATCAGGCTGTTAAGTCCATGTCCTTGACTTTGATGAAGCTTACCATAGAGCCTGGACTTACAGGTACAAAGGTACCTACGTCTTACTTTCAATGGACATGTGCCAGTAGGAAACACCTTCCATCGCCAACAGTCTTTAAAGATTCCGAGTTGAACCTCGGGACTCCGGACTATTAACCTAACTTCAGACAGATGATCCTGTACTCAGCTTAGCAATAGCGGCAACCAACTAAGTTCCACCTGTACTCTTTTCCCCTTCTTAACCGAGGCCTCTCATCGGCTCTTTACTCTTCCGTCCGAGCTGCACCCAAGCCTCTTCAACTTCCAGTTGGTCCCTCCTCATGCCGTTTGTTGGTGGTTGTTTACTATTTGCGCTGCACAAGAAGCGTCCGCTCTTCCACATATCAACCCAAATCTGCAGCCTCAACCTGAAGAGTATGTCCATCTCTAAATGGCGGATGCAAGTTGGCACGGGTCATGATAACTCTATAATTGGATGTGGAAATAATGTTCAGGGAGAGAACAGAGAGAAGGTCTCCTCCGGTCAATTATACGGTCTCTAGCCAACACGACCCGTAGTAGTGGACATGTAACCTCCACTAACAGTTCCCCTCTTTGACTGCGTGGAATTGAGATAGCGAAATGAGTGCTACACTTATACACGCCCAGCTTCCTTGGTATTAGCGTTTGCGCGGGACAATGTCATGATGATACTCTAGCCTCTATTTTTTTCTTCCATTCTCTTTTTTCTCCTGGTGCAACACTGCACGGTAATACGCTTGCCCGTGAACGGCTGTCGGTGTTCTCGTCAATTCTCACCAGTCGCGAGTCCACCTTACAGCATTCGGCATCCCCACACATTCGCGACATGGGATAGGGAGCTACCTTGTTGAACACACGACACTTGACAGGCACAGCTCAACAGCATCCACCAACCTGTCAGCTCCGAACATCAGCAGCTCCCGCGGCCAGCAACACAGACAGCAACATCACCACGGCACCGCCAACCACCACCGCATCTCTCTTCACACTTGCCCTTCGAAGTGATTCGACAAGCAAGGACTCTCTCGATATTGCGACTCGATTGTCCACATTCCCACGACACCAAGTTCCTTTTGCCCGCGACGGTCCATCGTTCGCATCGCTCAAGTCAACTCCTTGTTGCGACCAGAGAAACCCGACGCCATTGAACCCCAATTCAGCCTGCATTGTCTCCTCAACTCTGCCCGGCATTTGACTCCTGCGCCATGACGATGTGATGTTTCCCAATCGCGACACCATTCTATGACCACGTCCTGTTCAATCGAGCTCACCGATCGCAATTCGAGCCCTATGCGCGACGACACTGCTGCCGCTTCCACCGCCGTCTCCATCGTCGCGACTCACACAAAGGACACATTGCGAGACATCCAACATACCTAATCCGAGCCCTTTGTCCATGGTCCGCGGCAGAAGACAAAAGATTCAACAGCCGAAGCAACTGTGTGAAGAAAGCAGCGCCGATCGAACAAGAAGAAGCCCATCAAGGAAGACGGAATTACTGTAATAGTAACGACTAATATAAAGAAGAACGAGCGACACCATCGCCAACATGGACTTGAGAAACGTCCTCAACGATAGCAACAGCGGCCCAGTTGCTCCTCGCGCCGCCGCGTCCACGCCCGACCGACCCCAGCAACAACAGCAACAGCAGCAACAGCGATCACACCCGCAACAGTATTCCCAACATCCTCAACCGCTCCAGCGACAACAGTCATATCAACATCAACAGCAGCACCAACAACAACAACAACAACAAGCCAACAACAACAACAACAACAACAAACAACAACAACAACAACAACAACACTGGACTGCAACCTCTCTTGACAACAACAACAACAACAACAAATCACCCGGGATATCCCCAGCCGCCCACGACACCCGGTCAAGCACCACACCCTGGACAACAGCACCAGCAGTCGTATATAGATTACAACCACCACCAGACTCGACCCTCGCCCGGTCGCCAAGATTCGGGTTACGGAACCCAGCGCATCTCCTCGGGCCCGTTCGCCGCGTCCCCTCCTCCGTTTTCGGGACCCCCTGCTGCCGGCCCGAGCCCATACGCGAACCGACCTCCGCCGCCGCCCCCGCTGCAGCAAGTCCCGGCCCACGATCCCCGGTCGCCCAGCCTTGCATCCGGTCCCGGTCCATCTCCGTACCGTCACACGCCCACGTCGTCGATTAGCGCTCAGAGTGGCGGTTACCCCTTTCCTCCCTCGGCGCAGCACACTCCCACCAGCCCTGTGCAACGACCATACAATCAATATCCTCCCACCAGCACAGCCGCATACCCCTCCAGGGAAGGTTATCCTCCAACGCCGGGCGGCTCCGTGGGTGTCACAGGCCCACCTCCACCACCGCCTCCTCTAGGACACGGCGGCGCTGGAGGTGCCCCTTATTTGCAGCAAGGCCGGCCGGTTGGTGTTCCCCAAACACCACCGATTAGCACAGCTGGCGGCGGTCCAGGTGGAGGACATAACAACCCGTATATCCAGCGATCGCATTCGACGCATTCCGGATCGACGCCGACACCAACCTCGGCGCACTCGCAGGGCCCGCCAGGACCAGGACCAGGACATTCGCATTCGCATTCGCATTCACAAGTGTACGGGAGTCCATTTGGCCGGGGAAGTCCTGTAGCTGGGCCGCATTCACTGCCGCAGACAGGAGGTCCTGGTGGCCAAATTTCCGTGGATCCCCAGCAACGGGGGCAGTCATCCCAACCAGCGACTCCAGTTGCGGGTCCACGTCCGCTAACGGCGGCTTCTACGGCTGGCCCTGGAACTGGAACACGTCCACTGCCCCAGGCAACTCCAGTTGGTAGCCAGGCCCAGCAAACCCAGCAAACCCAGCAGGCCCAGTCCCAGTCCCAAAACCTGAACCACTACGGCCAACCGCCAAGCCCTTACCAGCAACGACTTCCACATTCTGCTGCGACAACGCATCATCACCTCAACCTCAACTCTCCCCGGTCGTCACATCTAAACCAACAAATCTCCTCTCCCCATTCCCACCCTCAACAACAACAACAACAACAACAACAACAGCCACCAGCACCAGCACCACCCCCGCCACCTCCTGCGCAGTCTCTTCCCAGACAACACAGCGCACAGAGCATTTACGACGCCCGCGAACGTGAACGAGAACTACGCGAAAGAAGCATCAGCATCAGTCCCAAAACTCGCGTTCCGAGTTTGCCAAGCAGCGCAGGTCGTCCTGCCACGGCTACTTCTGTTGTCTCGATTCCCGAGTCCGAACCTCCTCGCCCTAACAATACCAACCATACCGCCGCTCCAATGGCACGATACAGAGACGAGGCCCGCCCCGGCGACCTCGGTAGTAACAATGCCGCCGCCAAGCGAAAACTCGACGACCGAGAACTGAGACAAGACGAACTCGAGAGGCGAGACGTTCGTCCCCCACCCTTCGAAAACAGAGCCCGTTCGAGCCATACCCCAAACAAATCAGTCAAGAGGCGAGCATACGATAGCCCACCTCCCTGGGCCCAGCAGGCCACCCGAGGCACCACACTGAAGGAGCCCAACTTTGTCCTCTACAAACCCGTCCATGCGCCCGGCCACGCGCCCGTACAAATCAACGGTCATAGCCGTCATCCCTCCCCCGAAGAGAAGCGTTCTGTGCCTCGAGCACACGAACCTGTTCCCCGCGCACACGAAATTCGACCCAACGAACGATCCGCGACTCCAGGCGCACAAGGTCCTCCTCCAGAAGCGCAGGCCAAATGGGGACCGCTTGGCCCATGGGAGTCCTCCATTACAGGCGATCTGCCTCAAGACTCCATGGCCAAGGTCATGGCCGACTTTTTCTTTCACTATATTGTACAGAACGAGAATATGGGCGAGATCCAGAGCCGAGGCATCCAATTCGAGATTGAGGCCAAGTTTGGAGAAATCATTGACCGTAACACCAACCAAAGGATCGATCTTGGAGTGTTGTCGGCTACGATACTCAAGGAAGACGATTATGTCTATCCGTTTCGGAGTATCATGACTGATGTAAGCCATGTCCGTGTCCTCTCATTTCTGTCCTATTGACCAATGCTTCTTTTTTCAGAAACAACACAAAGCCTACAACGACTTCCTCAACCAACAGGTGGTCATCACCAATAATCCCAACTCCAGCACTGGCCGTGAGCGTCCCCGCGTCCCCGTAAAGTACGAACACAAGAAGGAGGTCGACCGGTTCTACGCGATACCACCTCAGATCCGCGACAGGGAGCTTCCCGTCACTATCGCCAACCTTCTCGCATCCAAGGGGCGTGACGCCAAGGTCCGCGTTTCCTACAAAGAGAACAAGGATGGCAGCAGGGAGGAGATCGCCAAGATTGTCAAGGCCCGTCTGAGGGATCTGAGTATTCATTTTCCCGAACACCGCCTGGACTGCCGCATTAGTATCAACTTTGAAATGCCCTGGGAGGGTTCTCTCGAGGAGCTAGAGGAGTACGCGACCAGCGCCAACAAGGGACAGTCTCCTGACCGCCGCAAGGATCGACTCAGCTATCGTCATTGTAGCTATCAGTTCGATTTGACGCAGGTGTCGGAGAATGTTAACGTGAGTTATCCGTCGTACGCTACAATAACCACTGAACGTGACACTGACGATATCTCCAGGGCCGCGAGGAAAAGAAGCACGAGCTTGAAATCGAAGTCGATCCCAGGGCAATTCTAGACCAAGGCCGCAGGGCAAAAGACCATCAGCCCAACCAGTACTTTGATTTGGTGGAAGGATTCCTGAACAACATCAGGATCATGGCCAAGCTGTGCGCCTAAAGTGTCATATTCTGTGGTAGCCTGGACCTCTGTCCGAAACCGGAATCATACATCAATCCTTTCTCATCCAACGACATCAGCGTTCATGTACCCAGCAGATGTTGCCCCGTTACAGAGCCGGCCAGGGCGTGTGCGAGAAGGTTTTCTTTGGAGTTTGCGGAAATATAACTATCTAGAGGCAACGCAACGAAGCATGTCATCATGTCTTATGTATGGGCGGAAAAGTGTCGCTTATCATCAGCTATGGAGTTTTGGAGGCTATTTGTTATCCATTTGTTAAAGGGCGTCTCAGCAATGCCAGGTGGACTGACACTTTTATTTGGCGAGTGAAAGATGAAAAGAGGAAGAAAAATAGAAGGCTATACATAGATATTACAGAGCACATTTAGGCCCCCTACCCTTCCGAGTCTTGCTTCAGGGGTGGGGCTCGTTAGAGGGAGTGGTAGTCGACAGAGAAATGATAGTCTGTTGATATTCTTACCCAAGACTTGTCAAGCTTGAGGAGGTTCGTGGATGTTTTCAACATTATGCCCTCACTTCCTTTTCGCTACATCAACCGAGCCAAGTACCTTTTTGACGTTCCAGGAATGGGTTCACTACCTCGTCATCGATACCTCCAACATCACTCGAGAGTTGTCTTGATATCGCAACCCATCGCACCGAAACCCCATAACTCCGGCCCACCAAACTTGAATCCTCAAAATAAACACCAACAAACCCACTTCACCTCGCCTTAGAGGTAACCTCTCCCGCCAGTCCTTCCTTTTACATCCCTCTCGTCCACTCGCAAGCTCCATTGCACTGTACTTTCTCTCATACTTTCACCCCTTTCCCCTTTCCCCGTTCACTATGACTATTGCGCTTTGCTTGCCCCTTGAACTCCCACGTATCATTCCATGCACCATGCACCGGCCGGGTCGCCACTACTGTGTACCCCTAGGTAGGTACACAACTACGAACCGAGAACCACGAACCATTTACTTCCTTGCATCTCTCTCTCTTGGTTGTTGCTACCTGGCTTTCTCTGTCAGGCCGTTCTTTACCCCACGAATGATCATTGCCGCTGCTTCATTGCCGTCGTTAGATTTTTGTGGAAAGTCGTAGCGACTAACGACTAGCGACAGTGCCCAATGACGCTCTCCTGATTGAGATCTTTGCAGCAGTCCTTGAAGAGTTGCCGGTTTTTGCGGTCGACGCCACAGATCTGTGTTGGTTTTATGTCTCTAAATCAGCATCCACTCATTTCATTCAGCCCGTCATTCTTACCATCCATTGTTTTCTCTTCCACCTCCAAGTTGCTGCTATCCACTCCTCTCTCTCCTCTTGACCAACCATCTTCGACATTATCCAATATAGAGAGAAGGTAAAGGGGACGGAAAAAGAAGGGAAGAAAGGAGGAACATACACTGTTCATCGTCTTGTAACCTAGCTTTTTGCAGCAAGAAGTGGTTTGCGTGCGCAAGAGAGAGCCGTCGGTGGAAAGCATGCAGATGCAATCGTCGGGGTTGAGGTACCATTCGCAGACTTGGGCGAGGGCGCCTGTGGCACTCAGGCTCATCAAGGCGCAGGTGAAGAGGGATGTGAACTTCATTGTGTTTTGTGTTTCTTTTTCTGACTTTTTTTTTTCTTTTTTTTTTTCGTTTCTGGCTGTTCCCTACTAAGATGGAGAGGTAGGTTCGAGTTTCCTCTACCTGGTGGTGTCGAGGGTAGAATGTGAAAAGGGTGGAAAGAAATCGAAACTCTTTGGCTGGCTGTTGTGAAGAGCTGACCCGTGGGCTTTACCTATGTGATATATTTGAGGATCTTATACTTCCGCACCTTAGCTACTTCAGGCACGCATGTAGTCGAAAAATCGTGATATTTATTGGATATTCCCGTACTTTCCTGGTTCTGGTAGTACGACCGTCGTCATGGGATGCAATCAAGTGTCAATCAAGTGTTTAGCCGCAATACTCAATATCGAGGCCATAAGCGAGGGTAACATCCCATTGCCGAGTGTATGTGCCGGTCTTCCGATTGGAAGTCTGGAAGACCACTTGTAACTGTTTCAGAGATTTGAAAGACATCGCCAAGTTCTTCGTATAAACAAGACAATGACCGGAATGGCAGGTGTCAAGAGAAAACAAGTGATGCTAGCAGCTTGTGAGGTTGTGTTATAAGGTCATCGACCATCCTTTTCTCTTTCATGGTTCCTGGTTCCTGCTTACAGGTTTGCCAACTCAGCACTGTATGTCCTTTTGCTTCGTGGTTCAGAGGTAATCAGCATGTGAGAGCAAGGATTAACGGTAGCAATCCAGAGAATAATCAATCTATTAGTAGGTCATATTTTCAGGTCATTGAGACGTTGGTAGACCATTAGATGTGTTACTTAACTTCATATGCGCACGACTTATACCTGTGGAGTAGATTGCATACATACAGGCTAATACCCGCCTCCGCAAAAGGTAACCCAAGATCCTGGTTCGTGGGTTGTTGTTTTTCTTGTTCCTGATGGTCTTGTTCTCTTCCTGTTCTGGAAGCCAGCTCGTAGCATCTCATCGACTCTTCGTGGCAACACAATGCAGATGATATCTGTTGCTCATTACCTACCGTAGTAGGCGTTCTCAACACCAACAATGACTACGTCCTAACAACATCACTTGACTCAAGCGTCAAGCTATCAGCGCAATGGCCAATAACAGCCTTTCCAGTTGTTTTGAAGGGGTGTGTTATAGAGCTATGATCAAGTAGCATAATTATTGAATGGTATATCGCTGTTTTTCGCTTGTTGTGGTTCAAGTCTTTGCTCTGCCATCTTCCAATACCCGCTGACCATAACATAAATTACTCTTCTCGTCCGTCGTAACAATGTCGATATCCATTACTCCCACTGCCATTCCTCCCGTCCATCATGTCTTCCTTCCCATCATTACTTCGACCTGTCTGTCCACCGCATCTATTACCATCTCCCTTCAATCATCTACCATCCATCTAGTATCTATTACTTCCGTCCATCACTCTCATCCCCGTTCCTCCCACTCCCATCACTTCCCCACCCTTCCTTACTTAACTCCCTCAGCATTTCCTTCCCCCTTCTTCCTTCCCCCCTTCTTCCTTCCCCCCTTCTTCCTTCCCCTTCTCTTCCTTCCCCTTTTCCTCACCCGAGTCAACCCTCCGCCCACTCCCACTCCTCCTCCCCCAATTCCTAAGCCTGCTGAATCTCCGATCCCAAGAAGATTCCTACTTCCACTGCTGACCCGTAACAGCCGGCTCAGCCATATCAACCATGAACGTCTTTGCCTTGGCAACCTTCACCAAAAAGCTCGGAACTCCCCAACCTAGAATCTGACCTACGCCGCCGCCGGGGCCGATGGGGATGAGAAGGGTGCCGGCCAGTTTGTTCTTGAAAGTCTTTTGCTTCAACGGTGCTGGGAGTTTGACGCCATTCTTCTGGCTGTCGGGGCCGAGGATTTGGGAGGCGAGGTCAGCGCCGATAGAAGAGCAAACGACGGGAACCTGGAAGTTTGTTTCGATAAGCGTGTTATCGGAACCTGAAACGACGTCGCCTGCGGCGTAGATCCCCCCAGCCTCAGGATCAGACTCTGAAGAGCCGCGAACGCGGAAGAAGGCGTCCTTGGTTACCACCCGGTTAGAGCCATCAAGCCAGGTCTTTGGCAAAAAGGCATCAGCGTTTCCCTGACCGCCCGTGGCATCAATGTAGAGGGCCACAGTCCTGGTCGAGCCATCGCTTAGTTGCACCGTAGTCTCGCCTTCCCCATCTCCCGCCTCAGGACCAGACTCAGACACCGAAACAATTTTGACACCACCATGCACAACCTCTACCAACCCCCCAAACTGTCTCCTCAAATACTCCTCCGCCTTGCGTCCCAACCCCTCCCCACAATTCCTCTTCAGAAGCTTATCCGCCCCAGAATGCAACGTAATCTTCACCCCCTCCGTTTTCCCTTCCGCCTTCAACCAGCTCGCCACCTCCCCCGCCGTTTCCACACCCACCGGTCCTCCGCCCGCAATCAACACGTCATGGTGTTCATGCGCACCACTTTGCAAATTTCTCAGTTTGTTCCTGATAGATTCCCACTCCCTGCGCGTAGCCTCCTCCGCACCCTTGAGCGCCTCGCTCCCGGGGCCAGGCATACTCCATAGCGCGCTCCTTGCCTTGGTGCCGGTGGCGATGACCAGCACGTCGTAAGAAACCGTGGACGCGGCCTCGGGAGGAACTAGCATGCCGTCGCCGGACCAATGGCTGTTGACATGGCGGATGTGGACGCGGCGGTTGGTGCGGTCGACGGCGTAGGCGTAGGCTTGCTTGAGCTTTACTAGGTCGCCGTATTGTTTGACGGCGTCGGAGAGGGGGCGGAAGACTTTGGCTTCGCCGCCGGGGAGTAAGTCCGGCTGGATTAGAGCGCGCGGGGAGGCGGGCACGAATAAGAATTGGGTGTTGGGGGTTATTAATGTGATTTGGTACTGCGTAGAAGAAGAGGTGGTTTGGGATGAAAGATGCTGCAGAGCTGGGATGGTGTGGCGGGCGAGGGTGTGCAGGACGCCTAGGCCAGCGAAGTTGCCGCCGAGGATGACGATATTGATGGAGGAGGTTGGTGTGGACTTGGTGTCGGTGGTGGTGGTGGTGGTGTCAGCTGGAGCTGGGGCAGCAGCTGGGACACCAGCTGGGACAGCTTTGGGAGCGGATCGGGATTTCCCCAGGGCTAGTGCTTCGGCGGCCGACATTTTTGATGTCGTTGTGGTTTGGTTGAGTTAACTAAAGCTGTCAGGTTGGACGAGCTGATGGTACCGAGTCGACTTGGGGGCGCTTGATGTGGAATTATGTTGGTGTTGATTGGATAGATGGGTATGGTGATAGCTAATGTAGCGAACTGGAATCCAGAAAAGCAAAGCTCGCCGTTTGTTGCGAGATGGTGAGTGTCTACTCGTAAGTGTTTACGAGGAAAAGAGGGAGAGAGGAAGAAGGGAGGTCGGAAGATGCAAGAGAAAAATGTCCATCGTTCGAGGGACGAGCAGCTGCAAATCTCCAGGCAGGCACCTGTAGGTACATAGGTCTTATCGGTGTTATCGCCTTTGTTTACTTGGTAAGTGGAAGCTCGCTCCCTTGCCAATTTCGGAGTTCCAATGTAGCACAAAACACGGAAAGGACGAATATTGATGTCCTAAAAAAGAGCAAATGTTGGACAAGACGAATTAAGAGGGTAGTCGGTCCCGAGCACCTTTAAGTAAACAAAACCGTCACTGTGCTCGACGCCAGATCGATGTACATAAGAAAGACCCACACCAGCATCTGGGGCTGTTATGAGAAGGGCCAATGACCGCGCAGCTTCAGCGTTATCCACTAACAAATACCCCTAACCCAGCCTGTGTCCACCAACTAAATCACCTAAACCTTAACTCGTGAACTGTTACTAAGCGGTCGGTCCTTTCCAATGTGCCCCTGCCGTTCCATGTGGACCTGGGACTACATACCTACAAGGACGGACCTCGGTCTCGACCAAGACCCCGAAAGTGAAACAACAACTGCAAAGTGGAATTGGATTTGTCGACGATGATTCAGCCTTGATAAGCTCAGCTGCTCCTGATCGTTTTGCTGACAAATCCTGTTTACACTACCTACCGAGCCTACTTACCCCAGAAGGGTTCGGAGTTCTAGACTATGGACTCGGATTTGGTCTTACATACACAGCTCGCATTTTGGGCATTAACATTGGAAGTATCGAACTGGGTGTGATAGCCGGTCTCGGGGGGTCCATTCTCTCTGGGAAATAAAGAAGGAATGTCGACATATGATCATGAAGTTCTGAAACAGAAGTTCCCTTGCTGCCCGGCCACTGGTCGTCACGAATGGCGTAAGTGTAACCAGGCGAATCTGTCACCCTAACCCTGGTTCTCGAATCCCAGTGGTTCGGAAGTGACAAAAGGACCGGATGAACACCTTTGACATCAAGATAATCAAGGACTTAACATAAGCACGGAGGGGAAAAGAATAGAGACCATGAAATGGCCAGATTCAACCGTGACCGCTCACATCGACCGGACCTTGATATTTGTCGAGGGGTTTATATACATTATTTTATGTTATGACGTTTGTATCGTGCTCATATGTTCGTGTCTCGTGCTTTCCTCTCAACCGGTTCTTACAACCTGACACATTCACAATCACCGCTCTTGATCCTCGTACTCCATCCGATGTCATCTACCAAAGGGTATATCCACCACCAAGTAACTCCCTCATTCTTTCCACACACTTGACCTCATCCCCCATCTCCCACTCCCCACCAACAGATCCCATCAGCATCCTAGTCCAAACTCCAAACCTCAGTCACCCCTCCAATTCCCTAGCAAACCTACTCCGTCCCCTCACCCAACTCCCACACCAAACCAACACCCACGGCACAGCCGTCAACCCAACCGCCACACCACCCAAAATAGCCGTCGCCTTTCGTTCCCCCAAATTATTAAACAACGGCGCCGTAACCAACGGGAAAACCCCGCCCAGAATATTCCTACAAAAACTCTGCGCCGCCAGCGCCGAGCTCGCATATCGATGGTACGTATCTGCCAAGTAATTGAATACCGCTAAATAAACGGAAAGAATACCCATGGTGGCGATGCCGATTCCGATGGTGGGCGCGATCCAGTGGATCAATGGGCGAGCGGTGAAGCCGAAGATGAAAAGGCCGATTGGGAGTAAAGTGGAGGTTAGGCAGGTGAAGTAAAGGCGGGATTCTGGGGAGGTGGTGGGGAAGTGAGATCTGAGAAAGGGCCAGGGGAAGGTGGAGGATGAAGAGGAGTTAGGGGAGGGGGTGGATTTGGGTTCGGAGCAAGGAAGGGCGTTGGGGTTTTCAGTGTCTGAGGCTGATGACGACGAAGATGAGCTGCTGGTGGTGGTGGTGGCCAGAGTATCAGGGGCGACAGCAGGAGCAGCTTTCCACTTAGGATGATGCAACATCTTCTCTTGCCAGATCCCAATAGCCGTCGCGAGTATGGCGCCAACGATCATAGCGACAAAGACTCGTCCAGCTTGCTCGATATTCCAACCGTACTGTCGACGAAACACAAGCGGAATAGAACCAAAGGTGAGGTAGAGGACTCCCCAAGCAAAGGCGGCCCAGAGGGAAAAGAAGAAGACGACGGGCTCTGTGAAGAGGAGGTGGAAGGGTCGAAAGACGGAGGTGCCGATCATGTTGGTGAGGGAAGAGCGTTCTTCGTCTTCTTTGACTTTCCAGCGGATGCGCCTGAGTGTTTTCGTTCCGGTGGTTGAAGCCTTTTCCTCGTCCACCCCGTTACCATCGCCAGTCTCATCCACCAACCCACTTTGACCCATCTCATCAACCCAAACCCCAAACCACCCTTCCCCTTCCAGCTCCTCATACCACTGATTCAACGCCCTCGCCTTCCTACTCAACAACACACTCCCCCGACTCTCCCTAAACAGCAGCACCAACGCCGCCATCAGCGCCGCCCCCAAAATGACTTGATGCCAAAAAATCCACCTCCACCTCGCTCCATATCCCTCCACCACCACTTCTTGTCCCGTCTCCTCATCCATAGAAGTCCCCCAGCGCTGCGTCATAACAGCACTAACCAACGGCCCCGCCCCAGTCCCCATCAACACCGCCCCACTAAAAAGCGCCATCGGCGTATTTCTTTCTTCTTTCGTCCATATATCAGCTATCACTCCTCCCACCATCGTCGAAAAGACACTTGCGCCCACGCCGAGAAAAAAGCGCGCGATGAGCATCCCCTCCAAAGTGTCGACGACGCCACAGACGGCTTGGAAAATGACGAATACCACGCCTGCGACAACGAAAACGGGGTAGCGACCGTTCATTTCCGAGAAGGGGGCTAGGACCATGGGTGCTAGGGCGAAGCCGAGACAGAAGGTTGAGATTCCGCCTAGGATTGCCGTTGAGCTGTGTGCGTGGGAGAGGGTTTGTAATAAAAGGAGCTGGGGAGGCGAGTAGGCGCCTGCTGTGTAGGCTGTGAGAAAGGTGGCGATGCAGGAGAGGGTGAGCATTGTTAACTTTAGGGAGCGGGGCCAGAGGAGGGGGTTGGTGAAGGGTTTGAGGTTTGGTGGTTGTGGTGGGACATTTTCGGTGGTCGATGGCAATGAGGAGGAGCGGAGGGTGGTGTTGGCCGAGGGTGGTTGGATGGAGAAGGTTAGGTACAGATGGGTGATTTCCGTGTTGGCGTCTGGTATTTGGGTTTGGTTGTTGTTGTGACGATTGGAGGTTGAGGTTGAGGTACCCGGACCCGGACCCGGACCTGGGACTTTGACGACGTGTGGTGCGAGCACGGGAGATCGGTTATCTTCGGAGCGCCATGATGGAGGTGCCGTATCCGGGGCCGTGGCCGTGGGTTTGCGTTCAGGCGCAGGATTTGCCATTTTACTGATGCTGCTGCTGATGTTGATGTTGATGCTCTATATCGAATTGGGAGTCTTCGACAGGTCGACTGCATCAACCTCGGTGCTTGTTTTTGCCAAGCAACTTTGTTTTGTCGGAGGTCGAAACGAGCTTTTTTTCTCTAATAAGAAAAAGAAAAGGGGAAAACCGTCAACAAGACATCAACTTTGGAAGCATGCCATGAAAGAAAGGAAATATGTTGGAAGACTTTTCAAGGCGGTCAACCAGACCAGAGCCTAGGACCGAAAGCTCTGAAACAGAAGAGAGAAAGAGAGAACGAGAGGGAGATAGATGGATCCAAGATTGGCGATATCGCGGATCTAAGAGGTTGCGGGAGGAGTCCCCCCTCCGGCTGGAGTCCGGCAATAAATCCGGAAACAAAAAGGAACAAAGCCCTTTTCTTCTTCAACCGAAGCGAAGCAGAAGCTTCGGAGAAGTTATATTTTGCACTTGCAGGCATTCCCCAAAGCCAAGACTTGATACGACGGGTATGGGCAAAAGAATTGGCAATGATAGCTTGTGATGATAGACGCCATGTAACGCTGCACGGTCAACCTTTTGTTAACTAAACAAAGGTTAACCGCAGGTTATCGATGGTTATCGGTTAAGCGATCAACAGGTCCACCGCATGGTTGAATGCCGAGATACCGTTTGATGATGTGTTGATGTGTTGATGCATTGTTGTAGTGATGTTTTGATGGAGTAACAAGATGGTGGAGAGATAGAGAATGGGTTCGATATCCGGGGCTACCATCAGGTCGGTACTCGTTTGGCCTTTGGATGTACTGTAACTGGCCAATGTCAACGTGGATGATCATACACCAGGAATCGAAATGGGGTGAAGATGGATCACGGAAGGGCAAAGGGTGAGAGTTTGACAAATCCATGGCTGGTGTCGATGTTTTTTGCAGTGGTCAGTAGTTCCCCTGCAGAGGGGAGAAAATTGATAGTGTAAGCGCACTGACACGTGGAGACACAGAAGACACTAACAGACGCAGCCACTGTAACCCTGCAATTTCCCCACACACATGTTAACTCCGGGTATTCCCAGCTCCACTGCAAGCAGCGGGCCGATCACCGGCATGGAAGGCCGATGTTCTCCATCTTCAGCGGAACATTTCCGAGCTTCGGTCTTGTCCTCTTTTTTCTCCTTGTCAACAACACTTTCCCGTATTGTTTACACTATCGTTGGCACAGAAGTTACACTATCGTTGGCACAGAAGTTACACTATCGTTGACACAGAATGTGTTATTCTCGACTTGGCACATGCTGTATCACGACGTCAAACTGTCCTTCTCGTTAAAACCCGTCACTTCGTTTGCGACTTTGTCTGGCTTTATAGGACGACAAGATGGTGCTACCGATACGCGACATACAAGAAAGGAGACACAGGCACGCCCTACAACCACAACCGAAGGAAAATCTCCGAGACGAGAACCTTTTCGAAGCCGATCCAAACCGCAACCCACAACCTCCCGTTACACCTCAACTTCCCTTGTGACACACCTACGACAAAGTAGGAACATCCCAAGGCGCCCAACTCTTCAAGTCTACCTTGGCCGTGCTCCTCTCCACCGCCCCGGGCGCCGTCCCGCTATTAAGCAAGAAATAATTGATATAGCTCGTCAATTCGCTCTGCTGATTACTCGGGAACTGGCAATGGGAATGTCCTCCAACCAGCGAAAAGCCCATATTATTCGGCACCCCATACGCCTTGTAGATCAGCCTGCCCGCTTGCATGCACCCCGTCGTAGCCACAGGGCCCAGCCAGTCGATGTCGTTCTCGAACGCGATCAACCCGCGTGGCACCGTCAGCGCTGCAAGCATGTGGTGGTCGGCCGGGATGTTGGTCACCTGCCGGGTGTAGGTGTTGAAGTTGGGCGAGAACCAGACGTTTTCGCCGACGATTTGGTTGGCGGTCTGGATGTTTTTGCCTGAGGATTTCTCGGAGTCGCTGATGCGCCAGCAGGCGGCGCCTCCTGAGCCGGATTCCTGAGGAATGGTCAGGGCGATGCGATCCACTAGTGCTCCCGCCAAAAATGCGCCCTTGCCGTTGCGGCTGCACCCTGTCACGCCCAGGCGCTTGGGGTCAATGCCCGAGGAGGACTGGACTTGTTCGAGCGCGTCGACTAGGCGGTCTACGCCCCATGCCCAGGCTGTCAAAGCGCCCGCGGAGTGCGAGCTGCCGAACAAGGTGTAGAACTTGCCCTTGCCGCGTGAGGAGCCGCCGGATTGTTGCGCGAAGTCATCGTTGGGGAAGGTAATGGAGGCCACGTTGCTGGGGATTGGAATGGAAGAGCCGCCGATGCCGATGATGGCGGGGAAGGGGCCGCTTCCGGAAGGTTTCTTGATCGAAGCGGAGAAGGATACCGTCTGGCTACCGACGGTGATACGCACCGTTAGAGTGTTGCCCGAGAGTGAACCTTCGACCTTGTCGGGCTTGCCAGGGTAGGTGCCTAGCTCGTATTGTTGGAGGATCTTGGAGATCTCGGCCTTGCGGCAGTCAAACTCGGCCTTGGTGGTGATCTTCTGCCCGCCCGCGGTGGTGAAGGGGTCGGGAAGCTTGGATACAGCGGCGGTGGGGTAGCTGCCGGCGACAGAGCACTGGCGCTCAAAGAGCTGGGAGGCTGGGGCGGCGACGGCGAAGGCCGCGCTGGTGAGCAAAAGGGCGGAAGTGAGGTGGACCATGATGACTGTGATGAGGTGTGTGGGTGGGAGACGAGTGTTTCTGACTTCATGAATCTGCAAGTGCCGTCTTGTCTTATATGGTTTTCCATCTGCCGAGGACGTCGTGTTAGGAAACGGTAAAGTTACCGTGTTCCTGGGCAAGATCCTTCGGATGCACTTTCTTGCCCGAAGCATACGCATCCGGTCAAGGCATGGTAATCCGCCTCATTGGAAACGCAGTGTTGCAGACAGCCCTGGTTCAATCTACTGAGGCCCGGAGAAATCGCCATGTTCTCTGGCATGGAACTTTCCCCGCAGCTTCTTTGCACAAGGGGCCTGGCTACCATATCCATGAGCGTTGCTGTCAAGTTGAGGCAGTGTTCAAGCAAGTGCTTGCTAAGGCGGCTGTCGGACATTGCCATACAAGAAATCGCTTGGCACTATGGATGAGAAGAAGTGCGTGGAGGCGATTCGCATGATCGCCAGGCGTGTGATCTCAATGCCAAAGTAGGCTAATATGGATATTTGGCGTCGCAGGGAAGATCAAACATTACAGTAGATCTCTTATCCTTCGCCGGATGCCAGTTTGAAACTCCGATTCGTGCCGGCTGATATGGCACTCTACTGCCGAATGCAGGTGCGGCTTCAGGAACACCGAACTTGGAGACGGGCGTTGATTGGCTTGATATTTTCCGGGGAAATGGATCAAGTTTCCAACTCCTTGTACATAAAATTCTTTGTTTACGTGGAAAGTTGTCATGAACCTGGTGGTTAAGGGCCAAGCAAGTTCTTTTCATCATCTACAGCTCCAAGCTCCATTCCTTTATTACAAACTTTGAATCACTTAATTACATTCCCTCGATGGTTCTTGCAAAAGCATGGGATCCGCACAAAGGACCCTGAAGCCATTGGTCCGACTGGGCCAGAAACTTAACCTTTCACGGCGACGCAAGGCTCACTCCATCAAAGCTCTCCCTTTGTCGCATCGCCTTCTGCCGGAGGGTTACAATCTGCCACAAGTACCGAAGAGGCTGAAAAGAACCCCGGGCAGAGGTCCTCCAATGCCACATGGCAAACCTGGGGTATGTCGATCTTAGACGGGATACATCGTGGTCTTTGTGTCTCTCCATCAATGGTGATTTCCCTGAACATCATTTGGGTGTCAACATACCAAATGAAGACGAGCATTCCCAGAAAGTTGCCTCATTTGATGCCCAAAAAGCATCAAGCCGGGTAGCCGTCCTCCAAGCAGGGGAGTTGAGCAACAACCATATGCCACGGCACCCTTCCATTTCCAATCATGTTCATCTACATAAAACATCTACAGATTACACGGGCATCAGACTCACGCGGAACACCATACTGCTTTCACTTCCAAGCCCGGAAACAGCAATTTCTCAAGTGAACCAGTCCTCACATTGGTGGACAATCTGCCATCTCAGAGCCACCAGTAACCAGCCTTACCACTCTTCACCCGCTCCTTCATATGCGGTCCCCATATGTATCGCTGTTTCAAGGCGGCACATGATCGAGTAACAGTTATTGCATCTGCCTCTCGGCTGTAACTCCGTCATGATAGCCACATGCATGCTATATCGAGGAAGTTTGGACGTACAACATGTCAAACAAAAAGCCAATCCAACCCCAAATCTTCAATGTTGCTACCTCGCACATAGTTCTCCGGAGCATGAAAGTTCCCGGCATGTTCCCTTTGCTCTTGGCAACACTCTTGGCGGCGCCGTTCTCCGGCTTTGGGTACGGTTCCGGCCCCGGACCGGCCCTCGTCTCGGCTCACGGCGGACTAGCTAATTACACGGTTGATGATGTTTGGTATCCGGGGTAAGTTATCACCTACCTTCTCAGCCTCTACCGGCCCTGTTCACACAACTCGCACGTCACCGGTCCATGCCCCGACATCCTTCAAACCCCCCCTTCGTACCTTTCCCACTTCATTCTCTTCGCTCCCAGCATCACCTCCCCTTGACCCGTTTGCGTCACTTCCCCCGTCCTCTGCCCTTCCTCCCGTTAAAACACAGCTCAAACAACGACCGACTAACCACTCCTATCTAAGCTACGACCCAAACTCCCCCCTCGGTCCCCTCCAACTCTCCCAACCAGCTGAAATGGGCATCCCCCAACGCTCCTACGCCTCCATAGACCCTCTCTTCTCCCCCACCTCCCCTTACATAGCCTGTAACTCCCCTGGCCTTTCACCCCCCAATGACCCCTCCCACTACATCTCTTTGTTGCTCGGCTCCAACCTAACAGCCATCTACTACTACTGGCTTCACCCGGTGGGGCCAATGTCCGTTTGGCTTTCCCCTTGCCCAGACAACGACTGCACAACCGTCAACTTACCCAAAACGAAATGGTTCAAAATCTGGGAGGCAGCATTATTAGGTGGACCGAACCTAGCAGAAGGAACTTGGTATCAGAAACGGTTCCAAAAGTGGGATGGGGATGGGGAAAATCGGTGGGAAGTCGTGGTGCCGCGGGGGTTGAAGAGTGGGAGGTATTTGGTTAGACATGAGATTTTGAGCTTGCATGTTGCGGGGAAGCCGCAGTTTTATGTTGAGTGTGCGCATTTGGATATCAAAAATGGAGGTGTGAATGGGGGAGAAGATAGAGTACTGCCGCCGGATGAGTACTGGGTTAAGTTCCCGGGGGGTTATAGGGATGATGGTAAGTCGGATCTTTCACTTTGACTTCAGTAGGAAGAGTGATAAGAAAAAAACGGATTGGGCTGAAAATGAAGGGGGAAAAGCTGGACACGGTACATAGTGGGATGAAAAATGACTTTATGGAATGGAAAATTGGCTAACGGGAAGGTTGTGAGGGATAGATCCGGATATCTTCATTGACATCTACTCGGAGGAAAACGAGAATCGAACGGTAAGTTTCCAGCTACCTATGGTAAAATAGTTCAACTTGCTGACAGCTGTACAAAAACAGGAATACGTCGTTCCAGGACCGAGGATATGGCCCGGGTATGATCTCCCGGTTCCTTCTCATCCCTGTTCTTTCTTCCTTTCTGCCCTCCCTGAATAGTGGACGGGTCCTTTCGAGCATTGAAGCAACTGACTTTCTGACGACAGGTTCACGGATGTAATTCTGCCGGCTACTAGCTTTGACTAGCCAGGCCTTCGACGCATATTCTCATATTACCGCGCTCAAGATGACGATCTCAAATAATCTAGCGAGGAATTCTATTGCACACTGTAGATTTCGGACTCGTTCTTGTTTTTGCTGTTGCTCTCGCACTTGAAATTATGGCATCGCCAGAATAAGAATCTTCGAGTATAATTGCAAGTAGTGGAATAGTCTACATATGGCTGTTTGCAAGCATTTTGGAAAGGAAATATGCAGTCCGCACCTCCTCCGTAGTCCACCCGGCTTCCGGCTCCGAAGTGGGCCCCGGACTCCGGCCGAATCCACCTGTTCCGCCAGATGCATCTCCACTATGGACCACTAACAATTAGCGCAGATCAGACTTACTCCACCAAGACAAAAGCAGTTTTTCACAAAGTCTGCAACATCCACACTACCACCAGGATCATACCAGCAGCGATAAGACGAAGACGGGAAGAAAAACTTTAACAACAACAAGGTCCGCTGGCTCAATGGCAGAGCGTCTGACTACGAATCAGGAGGTTCCAGGTTCGACCCCTGGGTGGATCGTGATACTGAAAATTGAGTTCTTTTGACTTTTTTTCCTTTTTCCATTTCATTTTATATCTACACTACACTAATTGCCTCTCTCTCATGAGATAACTAAGCTCTTTGGTTTTGAATATCTACTTTCCATTCTTTTTGGGTGCCAAATAATCCCGTTAGGATCTTCCATATCATCCCTCTGTTTCATCTTTGTGTCTTGTATCTCTTGTCTGTCAATTCAACTTTGTTTGACGTATAGACAGACACAGCAATGGAATGTTTCAACACCGGCACTGCGCGTGCATCTTGTATGTTTCTGGCTTCAACACCTACATGGTCACATCCATCCACAGTTCATTGACTGGTCACGCCTCATGTTATCTTGTCAAATTTGAAGTTTCCGTTGATATGTTGTCTGTTTGAAGGTGTAAATGAAGAAGTAATCTGCGAGAACACAGCTTCCTAAGGTAAGAAGATATATACGAAACTGAAAGATGAGAACAGCAAGAACAGAAGGGCAAAGGAACTAGGAAATTCGTATATACATCCCATCCCTTACTATTCCCCCTTTTCATATCAGGAGCCCATAATCTCAGGAAGGGAAGCTTACCTTAGTCAAACCTCCAACCCCAAGTACTCCTCTCCGTCCTCCCGCCTCTACCTCTCTCTCTCCGGAGAAGGCGACTGGTTGTCGGAAGTTCCAGAAGTTGAATCAGGGGATGTACCCTCCAACCTCTGCAGGGCCTCTTCGTTCACCCTTACACCTGTGCCTGTACCCGCAGCAGTAGTTGTACTGCCGCCATTTCCGGTTTCAGGCTTGGGCTTCTGCTCATCACTCAAATCGCTGACTCCATCTTCATCCTGCCACCTTCCACTTCCGCTTCCCGTTCCATATCCATACTGCGCAGAGCCCGAAGACTCCCCCAGATTCTGTCCGCCAAAGTCAGAGCTGATAGTACCAAGAGTTGCGTTCCTCCGATGACTTCGATGATCTTGCTCAAAACCACGGTCAGGAGAAGAATCATCATCATCATCATCATCATCATCAACACCACCATCCCAAGCCCCCCCACTAACCATTCCCGCAAACCTTCCCCAGTGCCCGTTCCCGTTCCCGTTCCCGTTCCCCTTCCTCGCCCTCAACTCCTCAAACGGCCCTTCCTCAATAACCGCCCCATTCTCAATCATCACCACCCGATCCGCAATCCTCATCATTTCCTTAGAATGAGTAACCACCACTATCGCCATCCCCTTTTCTCCTCCCTCTTTCATGCCCTCCTTGATGCCATCTCCCTTCATGCCCTCCATCCCGCTCCCGCTTCCAGTCCCGGTCCGATTGTTGCGATTACCATGCACCAGTCTAGCAAACACCTCCCGTACAGCTTCCGCGCCTTCGGCATCTAGACTAGCGGTGGGTTCATCGGCTACGATCACCTTTGGACTGCGAACAAGGGCGCGAGCGATGGAGATACGTTGGGCTTGTCCTCCGGAAAGCTGCAGACCGGAGCCCTCGCCGACGATGGTGTCGTAGCCTTGGGGTAAAGAGATGATGAAGTCGTGGATGGAGGCCATTTGAGCGGCGCGGTGCAGGGCGTTGGTAGCCTCGGATGAAGAAGAAGAGAGGCGGAGAGGTGAAGAGTCGGGAAGTCCGTAGAGGATGTTTTCGCGGAGGGTGGTAGGTAAAAGAAAAGGGTGTTGGGGGATGTAAGCTATGCTAGAGCGGAGGGAGGGGGTGTGGATTTGTGAGGGGGGGAGGGAGTTGTATGTCAACGAACACCCGTTGTCATGGTCGTCGTCGAAGCTAGAAGTGGAAGTTGAAGGAAGGGGCGGATAGAGGTTAAGGAGAAGAGAAGCGACGGTTGACTTCCCGCAGCCTGATGACCCGACGATAGCTGTGCAGCTGCCTTTTTCGATAGTCAGGTTGAGATTGCGCAGGACCAACGTCTCTGGCGCACTGGGGTATGCGAAGCGCAGGTTTCGCATTGCGATGGGTAAGGGGTTAGATAAACGCTGCCTCCCCTGCGAGCCAGACCCAGAAGCAGACCCAGACCCAGATTCGTGACCCCCCTCATATGAGAGGTTAACAAAATAAAGCATTTGGGTGGCGGTAGCCTTCGCCGCCGCTGTCTGCGGTATGTTGGCCAACATATTAACACACGTCCCCAGACTGAACAAGATCAAATTGATAACCCTCAGCAAATCCGTCACAGAAGCGCGATCTTGCGATAATATCTTTGCGCCGTAATAAAAGATTAGAGCCGTCAAGTAATAAGCGATGGACTGGTTGAGGCCCAAGAAGATGCCGATGTAGGATGCCCTCTTTAGGCCCAGTGCGTAAGTGGTGTTGATCTTTGCGGTGTACTTTTGGGTGAAAAAGGATTCGAGTGTCAAAGCGCGGACGATCTTGAGGTTATTGAACGTTTCAGTGAGGATTTGACCCATGCCAAGGGCAGCAGTATCGCACCTCGACTCCCATTTATCGCTCATCAAAGCATTTACTCTCCCAGCAATAACAGCAGCCGGTAGACCAGCGAGTGTAACGAGCGTTAAATCCCATTGTATGGTCAACGCCCAGGTTATCGCCACGACTATCATCGTGGATACGGTAACGAGGATGGGGACGAACATGCCGACCAACTTGCGCATCTCTTCTGCGTTTCTATCCAAGCACGCGACGATCTTGGCTGGGCTGTGGGAGGACTTATCGAACCATGACTTTGGTTGTGCCAGAATGCGCGTGATGGCTTCGGATCGCAGGGTGGTTACCCATTTTGTTGCTACGCGCTCCAAAAAGTAGTAGGAGCCAAAAGTCGCCAGGGAGTCGATGATGGCTACGGCTGCTAGGATGCCAGCCCATTTGGAGCCTGCGGCGAGACGCGCGGAGGGCGTGGACCAGAATGAGGAAAGCAGTTGGGCGAAGATGAAGGAGAAGGCGGGGTTGGCGCCGGCGACTATTAGGCAGAGGATGAGACCGAGGAGAAGCTCGGCCTTGGTGCGCAGGTCGAGAGTGGGATAGACAGTGCGGAGAATTGCGGACAAAGAAGGAAGACGGTTGTTGACGGAGTGGACCTTCTTGTTCAAATTGGCTGCCTGGGTAGAGGTAGGGTTTGATGAGTTGGAAGTAGCCGAAGCGATAGACGCCATGCTATTTCTTCGATTCTTGTGGAATTTGGCCCGCTGTTTCTTGTTGGCCAGTTTCTCGAGAAAGAAGAGCTCGAAAGAGTCCATGCTACTGTTAACCACTTGCGTTTCAATCACCTTGGTTGGATCAGGATGCTGAGCCCGCCGGGCGTTAGGCACGCGGGCGGTTTTGACTGAGAGACCGGTTTGGGTGATGAGTTCGATGGAGGAGTTGCTGTTTCTGCGGGAAAGAGGGGAGGGCTCGCGGATGCGATTGGGCTTGGTGGCGTATGGATGGAGGTGATGGATGGGGATTCTGCCGGAACTGAATCTGCGTGAAGTTGGTCGCGAGGGTCTGTTGTCTGTGGTGGCGGAGGGGTGGAGGTCGAAGCCGAAGGTTAATCGAGGGAAGACGGAGCTTCCCCTGTTTGAGCGAAGACTCAGGCCGCGGGCGAGTTGCACGTAGGTTGCTTCTTCGATCACCTCTTCCTCGGAGTACTCTTCGCCCTCATCGATGTCTTCCAGATCGCTTTCTTCGTCGTCTTCCTCTTCGTCAATGTCATCGGCATGCTCTCCATGATCAACATCATCATGATCAGCAGAAGCAACAAGCCCAGCAAACAACCCCTCCCTCTCCTCCCTCAACTGCTTTCCATATCCTTGCTGAACAACCCTTCCATCCTCCATGACATAAACCATCTCACCCTCCCCGATACATCCCACCTCATGTGTGATGATAATCGTCGTCTTGCCCCTCCTCCAAATGCGAATAGCATCCATGATCAGACCTCTAGACACAGGATCCAACCCGGAAGTGATCTCATCAAGAATCAATACGGGCGGATCACGAATCTTGGCCCTTGCCAACGCCAACCGCTGACGCTGGCCACCGGAAAGGGCATAACCACCAGGTCCGATCTGCGTGTCTAAGCCTTGAGGCATTCCAGCAATAGTAGTCTGTAGCAAAGCCATGGAACAGGCTTCTTTGACGTCTTCCATCGTGACTTGGTCAGGTTGGTATCCGCCAAAGGCAACGTTCTGGAATAGACTATCGTTGAACAGAACGCTGGATTGCTGGATCAAGGTGATGTTTTGTCTGATCCACTGCAGATCAAGTTGAGTAATGGGTTGCCCATCAACCACGATTTGGCCTGTCAAAGGCTCGTAGAAGCGAACGAGTAAGTTACCGAGGGTGGATTTACCTGAGCCCGAACGGCCGACGATGAAGGTTAGGGAGCCGGATGGGAAGTGGAAGGATGAAGGTTGGAGGACCAAGTTATTGGGAGAGGACGGGTAGGCGAAGGATATGTTTGACAAGGAAATGTCGCCGTGGCAGGTCGGTGGGCGAATGCCAGACTCTTGAGAGGTGTTGGTCTGACCGGGATCAATCTGGCGAACAAGGTCTTGAAGGGATTGACCGGCTGCCATTCCTTTAGCTAGGATAAGCCATTGAGGACCGAGGGTTTCGATGGATTGGAAAGCGATGAGGGCGCAGTAGAATGTTGTTAGGGCGTTTCCGGGGGTGAGGTCACCCTTGTTGACGAGCACCACGGCGAAGTAGAACCCCAAGACGAAGAGAGACATCATCCATAGCTTGATGTAGCTCATTTGTCCACAGTTACAGAGGACCTGACGAGTGTAGTACTTCGAAGACCTCTTGACAGCCGAGATGAAGTTGAAGGACTCGTGGTCGGCGGCATTGTAGGCTTTGACGAGATCAATGGCGGTCGTGGCAGCGGTGGCATGTTTGGCGGCCTCGGCAAGTTCGTGCTTTTGACCGGCGATGGCAGGGTCGAGGAAGCGGGCGATGAGCCAAAGGATAAGGGCAGAAGGCAGAGCGGTGGAGAGCATGACAAGTGTCAGCTGGTATGAGTAGTAGAGGGCAACGATGATGCAGGAGGCGAAGACGAGAAGATCGCAGACTAGGAAGCCGAGGACTTGGGATGTGCCGAGTTGGAGTTCGCGGGTTTGTCTGCAGGGTGTCAGTACTATGTTGCAGTATGGAGAAGAAAGAACATACGTTTGAATAGCAGTCAACAAACTAGACATGCCATGCTCTCTCAAATCAAACCACGCCGCACTTCTACCAAGAAGAGTTGAATACAGAGTCTCCCTGGTAGTCTTTGCGCGCAACTCGCCGGCAACAACCCAAAGGGCAACATCAATGCTGCAAAACACCCACATGCCGAGTCCGAGAAGGAACATGTAAAGACACCATTGAGAGGTCTGATGAAGATTCTCGGCTGCGGTAATCTCTCCGGCGCCGTAAGAGGTGCAGACCTGGAAGATCTTGCCGAGAAGGATGGCATAGGCGGTTCGTCCAGCACCGACGACGGCTGAGCCGCAGAGTGCGGAGACGATGAGCCAGACATGGGTTGGGCGGGTGAATGCAAAGAGGTTCTTGAAGGACGACCTCATGGGCTTCGGGGCTGCTGGTTGGTCGTGAGCCGGAAGCTGGACTGTGATGGCCTCGTCCGTGGTGGAAGAGCTCTCGCCCTTTTCGTGTTTGTGACTGATCATCTTGAGTGATTTGGACAGTGGGTGTTGACTGTCTATCAGTTTGACCAGGTCATGGTGGAAAAAGTCCAAGATTGAAAGATGGCCGCTCTTTTAGAGGAAGTGGTAGTAATTCGGACATTCGATGGTATAATAGGATGGCCATTTCGAGGTTTGGTATATGTGTCAATAGGATGCGAAGGGAGAGATGTGTAGCTTTGTGAAGGTCTTTGTTTGGCGTTGCTTGCTATTGTTGTGTTGAGCCAAAGTGGTGGGTGGGCTCAGGGGTAACCGAGAACAATAGGAAGCACAGTCTGGGTTGAGATGAAATCTGACTGATGCGTTCCGATTGAAATGGGATTGAAGACTGTGGCAATTGGTTTTTTAGTTTGGCGTTCTCTCATTTAATGGCGCTCACCTTTCTGTCTTCCCATTCCCGCCCTAGTTTTGCACCACAACATGGGCCCACGAGGGCATGATGGACAAGTCGTCGCAATATGTTTAACGGAAAATCACTTTGTATTCGCTCGATCGATGGTATCCTATGCGCTGCTGCCCTTGGCCTTCTTCCTCTCCTTTTCGGCCTCCTCGTAAACCCAGTCGTTGAGGCCGGCGCGGTTTCTATAAGTCTGTCAGCATGCCTTCTTTTCCCCCAAGAAGTCGGACAATAAATACCTCGCAATCTCGACGGCATAAAACTGCATGCGCGGCACAAAGATGGTCTCCTTCTCGCCGTACTCGGTCTTGGGGGAGGCCCTCAACAGGGTGCCAAAGTTGTAGTCGTCAATCTTCTTGTCGTAGACCATCATGAAGTTGCGCCATTTCTCCTTGCCGGTCTTGCTCTTCATCTCGTCCTCGTTGATGGGCTCGGCGGGTCGAAGTCGGGGAAGTCCTTCTTGAGGTGCTCGTAGATGTCGTCGTCCATCTTGGTGAGGCGCAGCTTGGAGCCGGGCACCTTTTCGAGAATGGCCCAGTAGGTCGCCATCTGCTGGACGGCCTTGACAGCGAACTGCTTCTCGATCTGTATGGGGGGGTTAGCGGTTAGCATGTGTCGTTGAGTGGGTTGGCGCATTGTGTCGCATTGTGTCGTATTGTGTCGCATGTGTCGCATGTCGGCGCATCGCAAAGAAACGAGGGCTGAGGAAAAAGACCTACATCCTCAAAGTTGTCCGCATTCTCAGCGTCAAAGTCCTTGGGCACCTGGGTAGTGACAGACATGGTGGGCAGTCTTTGTCCGTTTTCGAACTGCTGTGGTGGTGATTTGGGTTGTGGTGGTGTTGTTGGGGATGATGATGATGGTGATGGTGATGGTGATGGTTGAGAAAGAAGATGGGAAAAGATTGTTGGAGATATAATCGTCAAGATGGTCTCAAAGTACCTCAGCCCTGTGAATGTCACCAATAAGCCCGGATGACCAATTCAGGTGAAGCGACGGGAATCCCCCAGACGCCTCCTGACGGCGCGACAAGGATCCCGCTTCACCTAGAACAGTCGTCCGAGCTACCACGGCTACAGTGGTCATCGTCGCTATAAGCTCCAGCTAGAGGAGCAGGTACATATGCACTAACAATTAACACCTGGGCACTACGCACGTGCTGAATGGGAACAATTATGGCCGCAGCGGAGCAATGACATGGCGCTGACGGGGCGGAGGAGGGGCCAAAAGCGCGCTTAAGAAATTTGGTACAGGGGTGGGTTATCGATAAGGAAACAACGGGACGAACGACACACGCTTATCGACGGCTTATGTAATTCGGCCACAAACCGATTGGATTCATTCCTCAACACCATCAACACCATCATCAACATCGTCGCCGTCGTCATCAGCATTCAATCAGTTCAATACCACTTGACTCTGTGACATTGTCTGGGTCCATCGTTCTGCTTTTTACTTTCCATATTGGTGACATGCCGCCCCAGGACGATGAAGGCTCAGCCAGCAGATGGCTCTACACCAGAGACCGCAATGTCTACATCCCATTCACCTGAGAAGGAAAAGGTCGGATGAGGCAATAATGTTAATCGAGTTGGACTCCTCCCCGTGGGAATATGGATATTTGATGGGTGCTTCCCAGAAATGGACAAGGGTGAGGGCAGCAACCTCCATGCAAGTCGGAGTCACTACCTCAGTGCACTCAGCTGTGCAATGATGGGGGAACACCGGAGCTCACCTTCTACCTACCTACATTAACAGCTGGGAATACCTGCCTCTACTCACATCACCAGGTACCATAGGAGTTGGTGGTTCTTGCCCTGACCTGCCCCTGCACCCTTTGCTCAGCAGGAATGAGTGAGCAAACCAATGACTTGCCCTGATCCATGCCTACCAACACCACGCACATGGACCACTTCGACAAACACCAACTCTAACCATCATTCAGCATCCATCCTCAACAGTCATCATCAACAGCCATCATCAACAGCCATCATCAACAGCCATCATCAACAGCCATCATCAACAACCATCATCAACAGCCATCATCCATACGCCAAGCAACACTCGCTAGAACTGTTGTTGTATCCGTACCTAACAAGCAATCATTCGTTCGCCATGGAATCTACCCTAGAAGACTACCACAAAGACCTTGACTTCGAATACACCTGCCAGACCAAACACAATGACACCGTCCCGCCCCCTTGGGACCGCACTCTAGATGTCTGCTGGTCCCGGTTCCCCCAAGCCTCCAAGCCCAAGGAGGGAAAAAGTGACGACGACGGCCACGACCACGACCTTGCGGCCTCCACGCACACCCAATGCACCCCAAGCATCCCGACGACTGGAGCAGAGGCAAGTCCCACACCACGTCCGAACTCGCCCAAATCTCCACACAAAGGCCACCGGGGTTACTCTTGCTTGCACAAAGATGTTGCCTTGCGGATTTGCCACTACGTTGTCCAGAATCACTGCGCGGACAAACCAGTCTGCCTCAGCAGGTTGTCTACCTGCAGTGGCCTATATCCCGTCCAAAAGCACACCCTGCTCATCCAGGGAACAGAACGAAAAGTTTGGGAGAGCAAGTCTTTCGAGACACTGAGCGCATTCTCCCCTTACTTTCGCGTCTGCCGTCGCTTTCGGGCCGACCTTCTAACTACCTTTCTCCGAACTTGTCGGTTCCATCTCGTCATCTCGCCGTTTGGGCCTACCGTGGATACGGATTGGCTCAAAAACTACGGCCCCCGTTTGGACAACATCACTCTGGAATTTGATTGTACCAGGTATTATGGTGGCAAGCCCATGATGAGAGATCTCGATGAAGCTACTGGGCGCCCTGGCCTGTTTGACAAGCAACAGCTGGAAACCATGGCTCTCCTGGGACCTGGCAACATGAAGGATGCTGGGCAATCTGTTGAGTATTACAAATGGATGTTGAAGCCCGTATTGGAACACCTAACAGCCGGTCGACGATTTCCCATCGAACGTTTAACGATCATGGTGAGAAAGTATTATGGATCGCAGGAGAGCATGCCGCGTAAGTCTTCGAAGAGCTTCATCTTATCCTATTTCTCCACCCGAACTGACAATTATTTGCAGAAGGCTACCCCTACTTCGACCCTACATGGCTCAACTTCCTTCTCCTGATACCTAGCGAGCTCCAGTCGAAAGTTTTGAGCCTGGAAACAATCGGCGTTCCTCCCAGGCTTTTGGGGTTGATGATCAGCAAATTCTGGGGAGAGGGCAACCCTCCGACCGAGGACGCTCAAAGACAACACTTCAGATGGGGTCCTTTTCTGCCCACCCTCTGGCCCCTGATGCCGGGACAGCGTGCAGCCGTTTCCGTGCCGGGCTCCATCGACCCGACGGTTGATCGTCTCCTCAGGCTTGACCACCCGGGCGAAGTTGTGATCCACCCATTACCGAAGGAAGACATGGAAATACGAGTACAAGACTTTATTGATATGCTGCGGAGAAAGAAGGAAACAGATCAGGAAGGCACAGGAACAAAGAGACTGTCTTCTCAAGGCGAGGAAAACTTCCGAGTTTTCGCTCTCACCGAGATAGAAGTAAAGAGCGAAGAAGAACCGTCTAGTTCTAGTGGAACAGCTGTATCAATAAGTGTCCAAGCTTACAAGCCGGGCGATTCTTCAAGTGCATGCGGATCATCAACCCGAAACTCTATGGATGCGCTTTTGGAGTCTGGAGAGAATTCGATCACGGTATCGAAGCAGAAACAAGAGGAAGTGCTCAAGGAATTGGAACAGCTTAAAGCAGAGCTTGAGAAAAGTGATCAGCTGGAGGAGCAAGGACAGCAGCAGCAGCAGCAGCCTGCGAAGAAACGCAAGTCTAAACGCAAGAAAAGGAAGACCAATAAGCCCTCCATTCCTCTTGAGGACGCTTCCGTACCGCAACCTCAATCGCATCCAGAACCAAAACCACGGCCAGAACCCGTGGTAGAACACCCGGATCAAGCAGAGGAACAGCCACAGGCACAACCACCTTCCAATCCGTCGGTAGTGGCGGAGTATCTTTCATTCTTCAAAGCAAAGGAAGATGAAGCAAAGGCAATGGAACAGCAGCAACAGCAAGAGACGCAGCGGCCTAGATCGCTCTACCGGTTGTTGAAGTTGATAAAGCCAGGGGAAGGTGAAGCGGGGCCCTCTGGCCGGCCGACTACGAGAACGACAGAATCTGCGAAGGGGGCCTTGAGAACGGAAAGCTCATCGGCAGTGGGATACTCGAGGACACAAGTACCGGAAGGGAAATACCTGTATGAGGACGAGGAGGGGGGTAAAAGCAGGAAAGTTATGCACATGCAGCGCGCCAGGGACAAGTCCAGGGAATTGGCGAGCGTGCTGGAGGGTTTCCGTCCGGTAACTCCTCCGGCTTTTCCGGATGACTTAACTGATATTAGGACCCTTTCTCCTCAAACTGGGGTGGAGGCATGTCAGGAGCCCGCTACTCGATATGACGGGTTTGTTCCGTTACCATCACCTCTGTCCTTCCGTACACCCACAAGACCGGAGCAACCACAAACACTTACACCGCTGCCCTCCAAGACTACTTCTCCGGTCCCTGGCACGGGCCCTGCTGCTTTGGGTAGTCCCTTCTCGATACCATTGCCTGATGCAAATAGGACATGGCTTACGGACGAGGACAGCCAGTCTGGTAGTGCCGGTTCTACTTCTGATTCTACCTCTGGCTCAAGCGGTCGATCTACAGCGGTTGGTGCTGATACCATGGCCGATGGTAATGGTAAACGTCAAGCTCTTTCAGCTGCTGCGCCCGCCACTGAGTCAAGGCCCCCAATGCCAAACGCTGCGACTGTTACTACCGCAGCTCCGGCCGCTTTTGAAGACAATGACAAAGGTCTCGAACAGTGTAAAAACGAAGACACGGCCTTTGGTGCTGAGCAACCGTGGACAAAGGTCGAGAAGAAGGCGCGGCACCGCCGATCCAAACAACTGCTACAGAAGCCATCCTCGCGGACGAACAGGAATTTAGTTCTACCTGTACTCAACGTCCGAACGTCGTTGCAAAGTCTTCAGGATGGATGGGCTTCCACAGCAGCGTCAGTGGGCGAATCCTCAAAGATAAAGACGAAGACGACGACGAAGCAAGATTCGAAGAAGATGGAGAGTGTTGCCGCTCCACAACAAGGCGGCTCGAGCAAGAAGGGTGAGACAAAGGCCGTGTATAAGAAGGCTGGTGAGAACAAGGGCGTTAAATCCGGGGGTGATTTTGCTTCTGGCTCTATCTCTACGTTGAAGGAGGTTGGGAGCAACGTCAAAGCCGTACCATCATTCAGTTGCCTTGCATGCAACAAGAGTTTTGCTTCGGATGACCTCCTCTTCAGACATATACGCGATCTTAGACACTGGTGCCCTAGCACGTCTGTACCACCCCCGCCGGAAGCACATGCTCCCTCTTCTTCTCGCCCAACTTCTTCAGAACTTCACAGCGCTGGTTCACAGCGGGATAAGCCGGAGAAGTCTAAGTCTGAGGCAAAGGATAATGGTGCAGAGCTCGCAATTGTTTCCGGCTTAACCTTCATTGAAGCTGAGAGCAAAACCTCGGCCAGAACACTGCCCTCTTCATCACTGTTACTCCAGACGTCAAAGCTCAAGATGGAAGAGCCAGATACGGAGATTTTGGCTGAGACAATACAGATTGCTGAACTTGTGGAAGAGTCCTCCAAGAAAGACGCCATGCGCCAGGATGATCTTGTCAAGGCTGTGGAGATCTCCGGATCCAAATCACCTTCGGGATCACAATCACCTCCATCTCCACGGACTTCACTGCCGACACTACACATGCCAATGGGGGAGGTACCCGGTCCTGGGGTACGGCCGACTCTACCGGAAGTATCGGAGAAGGGAGAGAGTCAATCACACACTCGATCACCGTCTCAATCACCCTCAGATAGACCTCCTCCTCCTCTGGAAACTTCACTGGGGATGCCGAAGGAAGTGCCCAAGGTGGGAGTACCTCCGCCGAAGAAGGTGGAGAGCCAATCACGAACCCAAGAAGCAGCCCAATCAGCATCGGACAAGCCTCCTTCTCCTCCTTTGGATCCTTTTTCGTCGGTGGAAGCGACGATGGCAGCGGAGAAAGCTAAGATGCCGGTGTCAAAGGTGGAAGAGATGTCAGTGGAGAAGCTGAAGGAGGAAATAGAGAAGCTAAAGGAAGAATTGTCGAAGTTTCAAACGCCACCGCTTAGAGTGATGTGCGAGGTGACAAAGGGTGACGTGCCTAAAGCATACAATGGAGATGTAAAGGGTGGAGAGGGGGTTGAAGGGATGGACAAATCCAGCAGCTTTGCTAGCGGCCGAGACATTCAGGATGGGGGTATTTCTAGTTCCATGTCAAAGGTAGCGAATCTCAATGGAAAGGGCAAGGACAAAGGTAATGGACTGTGGACTGGAAGCTCGAAGCCGGGAGTTGAGGATCACGAAGTTGGGAGTATGAGGGTTGAGACCATCAAGGTTGGGAGCAATCTCGCATCACAACCGCAACCACAACTTCAAGTTCCCTCGCTCCAGCCCAAGAACAAGACTCCCCAGGCAGCCAAGAATGCCATTAACCAGGAGGGGAAAACGCATGGGCAGGCCAGGGCAGAGACATTCCGGCAAGGGCCGCAGGGACAGCTACAAGGAGAACAACGGGAGGTTGCGGCCACGGATGCTGGTGTCAAGCTCGCGTCGCAACCGCAGCAACAACTTCAACGACCTTCGGCCGAGCCCAAGAACAAGACTTCCCAGTTAGCCAAAAAGGTCGTTAAGCAGGAGAGGATAAACAACGTACACGCCAGGACGAAAACATTCCTACCACAACCGCAAGGACCGCAAGGACAGCCACAACGCCAACAAGGGCATGCGTACCTGGCGGAGCCTTCAACATCAACTCCATACCCGTATTCTCAGCGACAGTTCCAGTCGGAGACGGAAGCGGTGGCGGCCTATTACCACTATCGGAGGAATAAAAGGCAGGCACTTGATATGCTACCGACGAAGTCAATGGGACATGGAGGGTCCAAGTCTCAGGGGTCCAAGGCTCAGAGGTCCAAGGCTCAGGGGTCCAAGGCTCAAGGGCAACCGATGTCCCAGTGGCAGTACTCTCAGCAGTCTCAGGGGCCGATGATGCCCCAGTACTCTCAGGGGTCAATGATGTCCCAGGACCAGTTGCAGCCGATGATTTCCTGGGTACCACATATGCCTACATCGCAAGGCCAGTGGCAACCAATGTACCAGGGCCAAGCGCCCCCTATGCCTCTTTCCCAACTGATCCATCAAATGGCAACAGGGTCTTGGGAGCAGCTGATGTCACTGATAACATCAATGCCTCACACGATATCCCAGGCGCCACCGTTATACCAGGTGCGAACTATATCCCAACTGCTATCGAGCTCCCATGTACTGACTTTGTCCAAGATGCCAGCCGCGTCACAGATCCATATACCACCAATGCCTCAGATGCAATCGATGCCCCTGACACAGCCCTCTATCCATCTGCAATCGACTCTTCATAACAACAACTACCAGGGACTGACAGCAATGATGTCACAGATGCCACCGAATGCGCCGATGTATCCTTCACAACCGATGTATCCCCCTCAGCCCACACACCAACCACTCCAGTTTTACCCGTCTCAGCAAGCATACCAAGCACCCCAACCAATGTACCCAGCGCACCAGATTTATAACCCGCAAACGTATTATCAGGAATCCCCGGATCACTTTCGATCTCCAAATCCGTACCAGATGCCGCCGCCTCCAATGAACCCCGAAAACGAGGTATTCGAGGTGCCACAGATACCTTTCGGTCAAGTGCAAGATGGCTATTACCCAGCGCCAGCGTTGCCACCACAAGGAGGAAATGCGTATCCGATGCCGAAAGCTCCTGTCCCGGACACTACTGTGATCACGTATCCAATGGTTGGTGGAAGTGGAACTGCAATTGCAAGTGGGAGTGGACACGAAAAGAGCAGTGTCTCTGCTCCTGCTACTATGTCTGGAAGTTGGAGAGGGTCGGGTGCTTTGTATGGTTGTTCTGATAAGACAAGGAAGGAGAAGGAAGCAAAAGGGAAGGAGGTGATGATGTCTGTCGACCCTCAAGACGTAGCGGAGGTTCAGAAGAAGCCGGAGTGCAAAACACAAGATCCGAGTCAGGGGCAGTAGGGTGACTCTGACTCTGACTATGGCTTTGACTCTGGCTCTGGCTCTGGCTCTGGCTCGGGGTCGGAAAAGAGTTGGAAAATGAAGGTTTTAGATGTTTTGAGGGATATGGATGGAACGGAAAAGGTCACGGTCAGGCAAAAAGATGTTGTTATCGTGTGTACCGACCAGGACGTTGAAGACGCTGGGAATGATTCCGGGGCAAACTCCGAGGGTATGGAACATGATGCTTTTGTCTGTGAACATGGATCACAGGCATCGCAGGGGCGACATCAAGTTCAGGTGCAGACGCCTTCAGATGAAGCTCTAGAGGAAACTGTAGAGGACGACCTCCAGGAAGATGCCCCAGAAGAGTACGACATTCCAGCGACTACGTCTACATCATGGTATGAGCGCGACATTGTGCCGATGCTACCGAACCAAGAGGAGCCAAACTGGAATATCAAGGGGGCATGGGCATATGTCGCCGGTGCTAAGGAGTCGGACTTCGGCAAGAAGGAAAACAAGAACAGGAAGCAGAGGGAGAAGCCCCAAGCTAGGAGTCCAGCGACCGCAAGACCGGAAGCCGAGGAACCGGAAACCGCGAGACCAGAAATCGAGGACTCACATACCCAGAAAGTGACTGCTTTGGAGAAGATTGGAGTCATCAGATCCGAGAGGACGATTGAAGGTAATGGATTGTGGGCATGGACGTATGTCGCGGGCGCTAGGGGGTCTGATTTTCAGAGGAACTTTCAGTCTTGGCCTCGTAGGAGGACCGACGCCGAGGATGACGACGACGCCGAGAAGCCAGAGCTGGATCTGGATCAGGATCAGGACATTGAGGTTCCCCAAGCCCAAACCGACGTCGAAGACACCGAGGAGGACCTGGACCTCGATCTTGAAACCGAAACTGAGAAGCCCCTACCTTGTTTGAAGCACGCCACAGCCTCAAACTTAAAGTCCGAAAAGTCAAAAGAGGGTTCCGGCCACCAACAACAGATTGAGACCGAGACCGATGGCCAGGACAAGGAGCGCGGAACAAAGGTGGATGACATGGAGCTCCAAGAGGAAGAACGGAATGTTGAGGCTCAGGTTGAGTGTGAAGTGGAAGGAGAGCTCTCTTCCATTGGCCCTGGTCAAGATCAAGAGCTGAGGGAGGCTGATGATCAAGCAGAGCTGGGGGAGGCTGATCAAGAAGAGCCGGAGGATGTTAATCAAGAGGCAAAACCGTTGCAACAATGGGACTGGCTACAAGGGGATTTCCCGGATGATGGTTATTACCGTTACAGTGATGAAGAACATCAGGATCGTGATCGTACGCTTCGCGAGCAGGAAGTACTTTTTCTGTTGGAACAGGCTCAGTTTTTGGAGGAGGATCAGTTTCTGGAGGATGAGGATTGGGATTAGCTGAGGTGGCTTGTATAACTCTTAACAATTGAGGTGTAGTGGTAGAGGACAGCGAGTAAAGTATGGGTTAGCATGTACCGGTAGACTAATTATTTGTAACATTGTTCATGTTGCGGCATGATGGAGCGAAATCATATTGTGGCTCGTTTGTTTCGTTTGTTGAATACATACTTTAGGGAGAAACACAGATTATGGACTGCTTGAGTGACTACCATAGAGGCATCTATCTGACTGGATTGTCTTTCAGGTAGATAAATGTCTACGGCCTATGTTAGAAGACATAGAAAAACGAAGCGATTTCCATTGTCACTCACTCACCGTCTTCGTTAATTCCCGTTCCATCGTGTTTATATGTATTGCGATTTGTTTGTTCTGGCATGGCTACTTCTCATACAAAGGCACACGGGGTAAGTAGATAATAACAAGGCAAGGCAAAGGGAGGCACGAGGCATGGAGAGACAAGGTGATGAACAGTCATCTGACTTGAACAAATATGGCAAGCAAATAAAGGAGATAGGTTACTTGTCTTGATCTTTCTACACTGTCTCAATCTCCCAACGATTGCTCCCGCTTTTACGGCCGTGCTTCTTCTTCTTCCTTCCTCGTTCGACATTTTTAAAGAAAGATATTTGTCCAAAAGCCAACATAAAGGGGAAGACTAATGATTCAAGTTCCGATAAGTACCCTAGAGATGGAGCCGCACTTTGATCCCCGGGCTCCGTTGCGTCCCACTCAGCCTATTGACGGGCAGCGAGTGCGTATCTTAGAACACCGCCCTCTTTTGCTTTTTCTTTCTTCTTCACCCTTGCTCTCCCCTCACCTGGCCTCCTCTCGCCACTCATTTCTTCCCCTTCTCTCCCCCTTCCCATCTCCTCTTCCCTCATTCCCACTCATTTCTTCCCCCTCAACCCCCTTACCCCCGCTGAACCTCTCCCCTCAACCTCTCCAACCTCCCCCCTTCCCACACCTTCCCCCACCCCTCCACCCTCCCCCCAACACTTTGACAAGCCCAGGCTCCAACAACACCACCCCCCTCGCCATTTTCGTCCCTCTCTTCAACAAAATCTTACCCCCAATCGGCGTTCCACCAATCATTTTTCCATTGACGAACAGCGGCACACCTATCTCATCTACCCTTTTTAGTTCCAGCGCGAAGAGTCTCTGCCCTGAGGCATCTTGGATGACGAGTTTGTGCGTTGCGTTTTTGCGCTCTCGTTCGCGGGCTTGCGCTGCTTGTTGGCTAACGGTGTTGTTTTGGGCCAGGGCGGCGGTCTGGGTTTGCGTGCCGCCATCACCCATGTCCAGCTGGTCATCTTCGTTGCCGGAACCGGCAGTAGGTAACCGAATGACCTCCCTACCACGAGTCTGTTCACCGCGCTCGATGGATTCGAGGTCTTCGACTATTTCCCATTTTGAACGGTTCAGGTTTTCTACGTCCAACACTTGAACGACGACGTCGCGGTCAAGGATTTGTTCCCTCCCCTCTCCTCCTGGTCGTGACACCTGCTGTTGACCTTGAGCACGAGTCAAACAAGCAGGAAAAGAATGAGAAGCAACCCATTGCGGATCTAACAAGCCGGGGGTGGATAGGTCGGAGGACAGTAAACGGAGGCGAGCGGTGGCTAGGAGGGAAGGGAGGGGAGGGATGCGGGTGGTGTTGGAGGGGATTAAAGTGGCGAGCCAGGTCAGAGAGGGCAGGGGGAGGAGTGTGGTGGGAGAGGAGGCGGAGAGTTGGCGGTGGAGGGTTTGGGCTGTTTCCATCTTGAATTTCAAGGGAGTGGCTGGCGGGATTTGGTGGGATTGTTAGGTTGCTGTGGTTGTTGGCAATTCCAGGGTGATGATGGTCTGTTGTGGCGGTGGTGATAAATGGTTGTTGACGACTCGTTTGGTGCGGTTGCGGTTACGGTTGGTGGTGGGAATATGAGGTTTAGATGAGTTGTTTGTTTTTGGCAGGCTTTTTGAAGAAGTAATTGTTGAGAGTTGGTACTTTTGCTATGTTGTGTTTTCAATTTGTCATGGCCTGTGTTGGTGATCCGGTTTGTTTTGGTCGTGATGTTTTTCGTGCGAGCTTCTGGTGTTTCCAGAAATATCCTGTGGAATGCGTCTCCAAATCTGATAGCAAACTGAGTTTTTGGATAGTCCACTTCCGCAGTCGGTTGTTTATGTCTCTCCACCGTCTTTAAAGAAATGAGTTGGGTTGTTTGTATTGCGGAAGATGTCTTCTGAGAGCGGGAGACGTGGAGGAGAAGGTTCTTTGACGGAGTGTCCGTGGAGGTGTGTTGAATGAGAGACGGAGGGAGGGACGCGAAGTCGCAGGATTCCATTGCATCAAGGTTCAAAAATGGTTCGGGCGTCATAGCGTTGGCGCAAGGCCGTTGTTAGTGATGTCCCTCTGTCCGGGGCCCAAAACAGCAGTCACACTAACTTCACTGTTAGTGTCATATTCGCCTAGCTCACCTCCCGTCGCTACGCTGGGCCTGTGCTGCCGGACGGGAGCAGCCCGGATCACTGATGGACGAGAAGACTGGAGGAATCGTGATGATGTTTCATAGACGTCCGCGTATCTTGGTAAAGTACCACGTTAACATATCCCTCTTTCTGTGTTTTGAAACGTTCATTATCTTGTCCGACCTGGTGGCTGCGCTCAGTCCACGATGTCAGATGCTGCCCTGCGTGCGACCCATCAATTAAGAGCTCAAAATCCGCGGCCCACATCCAACAAATCAAAACGGTCCGATGGTGTAGTTGGTTATCACGTCAGTCTAACACACTGAAGGTCCCCAGATCGAGCCTGGGTCGGATCATCTTTTTTGCATTTTTTCCACCTTTCGACCTCCCTTTTTTTTTCCTTCTTTCTTTTCCTTTTTCTTTTTTTTGGCGGTACACTCAGCGAGAACTGTTTCTTGTCATATCTCATTTTCATTATTCTCGTCTTTGGTGCTTGCTTTCATCATTCTGCTATGCGAATTTGTTTGGTCGTGTATGAAAGGTAATGGAAGAGCTCGCTATTCCAAATCAGGGCCCGTCGAATAGATGCGATGAAAGACTTGAAGATAAAATACAACTCTCTCACTCTCAAATGTCTCAACTCTAGAAAGGGAACAAGGACTTAAAGGAAAACATACGTCTAAGGATAGAACTTAATGCTCATCTCACGGATGCATAGTACATTGCAAGAGAACAAAAACAACTCGAACGCAAGACGTACCTAATATCAATATCAAGAGAAGCATCAAGATGCAAGACAGCTAGTAAGAGAAATAGTATACAGAAATAATATAACCTTAGGTAAACAACCGCTGATATTTAGTTGGTAAGTTGGTAAACCCGAGGACCTTAAATGTCTCCGGACCCAGCCCAACCTAACTGCGCTACGGCACTAAACTATGCTTCAGCGTTACACGACGCTACAAATTCCAATTCAAATCAAATCAAATCAAACACCCCCTCACAACATCATCAACAGGCACCACATCCCCGTCATCTGAGACCTGGAGACACTGGAGACGGGTTACTGTCAGGAGTGTCAACGACATCAACAGCAGACGAGGAGGGCGAATCATCTTCCGCTCCTCCCATGGCTTCTAATGCTTGAGGCCCACATTAACAGCGACCACATCCCCCAAACTCTCCCACCCCCTCTTTTCCCACGGCGCAACCATACATCCAACCTGCGCATCAGCCGGTCTTCCCGTCCCTGCATAGGCCCTAGCCAGATCTTCAGGAGATAAGTTTCCGCGGGGCGGGACGCCCTTCCTCGCTACGCGGAGGGCCATTTCGGATGCTGCTTCTGTTATTTCCTTTGCTTCCTCTTCACCGCCGTTGTCACCAAGGCTGGCAGCGAGCTGCGCGACTCTGGACCAACCGTGCGGTAAGAAGGGGTGGAGCATGACGTCCACCATCGGCTGTTCCTGTCCCGACCCAAGCGCGGTGAGGATTGCGCGAAGCACCTCGCCCAGTTGAGCATGTTGCTCAGGTGAAATCCCCTCGTCGTTGGAACGGAGGGATTGCAGCTCGGAGACCACAGCGTCCATTGATTCGCTGTCGTTATCGAGCAGGGCGATGATGCCTAGTAGTAGCACAGATTGAACATGTTGTTCGTGTTCGCCTTCGCCTTCGCCTTCGCTAGCCTCGGCAATAACGCTGAATAGCAGGTCGCGACCGCGCTCGCGGGATTCTTCAGAGCCGGTGGCCCAGAGGATTTGCGCCAGTAAGCAAGCGACGTCGGGGTTTGTTTCGGATTCGGAGAGGGCTTGGTCGAATGCGGCGACTGCGGCAGGGATGTTGTGGGAGTAGTATTTAGCTAGACCCAAAGTGACGTGTGCGGAGAGACGGAGTTTGCGACGTTCTTCGGCTGTGAGTTCATCGGCGGAATCATCGGACGAAAGCTGGAGGGCCAGGTCGGCCGAGTCGATTGCCTCGGTGAATAAATGCGCCGAAAGTTGGCAGCGCGCGAGATCGGACTTGACGATGGCAAAGTGTTTGAGGGCTAAAGGCGACTCGGTGGATTCATATTCTTGCTCGAGAGTTGTAGACAAGGAATCGAGGATGGAGATGGCGCGCGAAAGCTCGTTGGTACGCTCGAGGAAGAGAGCCAGTAGATGGGTGTAGGCTAGGTCTGATGATGAAGACGAAGACGCTGACGAAGAGTGCAGGGATTGCAGCTGGGAGAGGGCGAAGATGGGTTGGATTAGGGTTGTGATTGGCAAGGACTCCGACGAAGAAGAAGACAAGATGTAGTCGAACATGGAGACGGCGTAGCGCTGGGAGATGATGCGGGATGAGTCGCCTGAGATTTCCATGGCGTGGGTGAATAATCCCCGAGCATCCTTTTCGTTTCCGGTCAACAACGCCACGACACCCTGGCCTAGCCAGGCGAGCGAGTAATCCGGGTCGGTCGACTGAGACCGCGTGAACGCCTCATTGGCCAGCGCAAGGTCACCTTGAGCCAAAGCCAAAGTAGCCAGGTTAGCCCAAACGTGGGCGCCGCGCTCGTTAAGGAACAGAGAGCGACAGAAGGCGTGCTGGGCAACGGCTGGGTTGACTTCGGAGGTCACAACACCCAAAGCGTTCCAGAACTCTGAATTGCCGGCTTCGAGCTCAATGGCGCGCTTGAAGCAGGCCATGGCGGCCTTGATGTAGTTTGTCGGCTTTTTGTGGCTGTTCTTACGGATGTCTGGGGGTAGACAGGCGTGAGCGCGGTATTCGGCCCAGCCGAGGTTGTAGTAAGCCACGGACTGCGCGTGGATATCGCTGCTAGCGATATGGATGGAGCGCTTGTGGGCGAGGATGGTGGCCTGGAGGGCTTTCGTCAAGTCTACGCCGACTGTTTCGTCCTTGGGGAAAATGCCGTCGGTGGAGACGATGCCGGTGCCGACGTTGTCAATGTCCTTGAGGATTTGGTAGGCAGGGAAGTCATCGTCGGTACCAAGGAGCGAGCGGACAGTGTCGGCGGGGAACTCGGAGATGCGGCCTTGGACGTTGGAAAAGAGCGAGCAAGCATCACCGATGGCCTTCCAATAATTGAAAGTCTCCTTGATGGCATCGGGAGCCTTGGTGGCGAAGGTGAGTGTCTCGGCAGCCAGACCGGCAGCCTTGCCAAAGAAGCCCTTGTTGAGACTGTCAAAGGCGTTGTCGACAAGTGTTTGCATCAAGGCAGTGGCGACACCTTCTTCGTCAGGGCGTTCATGAATGACATGCTGATAAAGCTCAATGGACTCATCAAAGTCACCCAGCTCGCGCTTGATGTCGGCCAGAATGAACTTTGTGAACCACGTCTCTCCGGTGAGATTTGCCTCCGAAGATTCCTCTAGGTTCTGGGCATTCAGGATAGCCTTGGTGGCGGCGATATAGCGACCAGAGCTGTGGTATGCCTCACCCAAACCTACCCAGGAATGGTAATCATTGGGAGAAATGCGCAGAGCCGACTGGAAGGACACGATAGCCTTGTGGAACTCTTGCTTGTTGAGCTCGGCCACACCGAGGGCAGCGAAAGGCCAGCTTATACCCTTGCGCTTAGAGCCAGGTGGTGGCTTGACTTTGCCAGAATCGACAACTCTTTGGGCTACGAGCTCGACGCGGTCCCAGTCTCCGTCATCGGCAAAGGACCTAGCTAGCCGTTCAGCAGACTCGACCTCGGATGGCGAAAGCTCCACGGCCTTTTGAAAACACCTGCGCGCTCTCTTCTTGTCCTTGGCGTAGTCGGCGTAGTAGATACCGAGGATTGTGTAAGCAGGGGCGAAGTTGAGGTTGTTCTTGAGTGACTCAAGGAACATGGCGTAAGCTCCAGACCGGTCCTTTCGGGCAGCCTTGGAGGTGTCAATGTTCCAGATACAATAACCAAGACGGTACTGAGTCTGTGATAGGAGTTCCTTGGACTGTCCCTTCCTGGAGAGGATGGGGATGCAAGCGTCAAGCTCGGCCCTAGCCATGTCAAAGTCTCCTTTAAGTGCCTTGACCCAAGCGGCCTCTGTCCTGACACGGATATTATCGGGGTCACGCTTCAGAGCCCGCTCGAGGAAGTCAATAGCTTCATCGTACTCCTCCTCCTCCTCGTAGATGAGACCAACACCAATCATGGCAGGTGTGGAGGTAGGGTCGTGAGCGAGGACCGCATCGAAAAGAGCCTTGGCTTCCTGGTGGTTGCGAGGTGTCTGGTAAAAGACCAAAGCAGTGCCGAGATACACGGAGAAGGCGTCCTCGGTAAAGCGGAAATCCAGACCAGTTTTGGTCCGCTCCTCCTTCAGGAAAGTCAAAGCCTTGCGCATCAGCTCGACATTGCTCTCCCACTCCTCCAGATATTGGTAGTATTCGCCCATTAGTCTGAACGCCAGCAAGGACTCGGCACCGCTGATACCCTCTGTCATCATAAGAAGACGGTCTTCCTCGGTGATGGGAGCATAGATCGTGGCCGCGCCTCCGTCCTCGTCGTCCTCGCTCTCTTCCGTGCTACCCTCGCTCTTGGCCGCCACATCCTCTGCTGTCTGTTCCTGCTTCTCCTGCGGGAAGGGAGACACGCTGCTGGTCAAGAAGCCCATGACCACCCTGTTGAGATCACTATCGGGGAAGAAAGTGCAGTACTGTCTCAGCACTGTGACGTCCCACTCCTTGATCTCCTTGTGGTCCTGCCAGTTGATTGCGATATCCCAGGCCAGCTTGTAGGGGTGCTTGATGATGACCATGTCGTTGGCGAGCTTCAGGACATTGGCCAGTTCTCGTTCCTTTTCGTCTCCTGGAGGCCAGGCCATGAGTCGGTCGTGGCAGTATTGGATCAGCTTCTCCTCGTACATGCGGCGCACTTCGTCGTCGTTGGTCCAGTTGATGAGCTGCGCATAGGTGTAGCTCAACCTGCTCTGTCTGTAGACCTCCCTCTTGACCTCTAGGGTGACCTCGTTGATTCTTGCGCCGATTCGCGTCCTCCTCTCGCCGATCAAGGTGTTGATGCGCTTCTTCTCATTTTGCTCCACCAACTGGGCCTGTGTCTCGTATGTCCTCCACACATGGCCAAAGCGACCCTCGATGGCCTCGTAGATGGGAGATTCGGGAAGTATTAGGTCGAGGGCGTCCACGTATTGGTATGACTCGGCCTTGGTGCGCGCATAGGTGATGAAGCTATCGACGGTCTCGTAACATTTTTGAAGGTCGTTCGCGTCTCTGAATATCTCGGCGAGCTTGAGAACGGCATGCTGGTGTTGCTTGAACTTCTTGGTGGTGTCGAGGTTAGGATACAGCCTGACAAGGCCCTGCCATGCCTCCTTCTCTTCTGGTTTGAGTCTGGTGGCGGCGAGGTATGTGTTCTCTGCTTCCTCCAACCTCCCCTTCTTGTCGAGAGCAAAGGCCAGGAGGATGTGTCCCTGGTAGCTCTTGCTGTCCTTGTCGATGATGTTCTTTGCGCCCTCGATGGCGTCGTCCCACTGCTGTTTCTTGATGGCCTCGGCAGCCGCCTTGACGAGCTGTTTGGTGGACATGCCGATGGTGTGTCCAGCGACACCTTGTTGGACAGGTAGGATGAGTTTGTCAATGGGGAGGGAAACAAGAATGGTAAATAGGAAATGACGGGAAGAGGAGAATAAGAGGTAAACAATGTTGCGAGGCTGAGAATGTGTAATGAAATGTTGGAGTGTTAAGCTTCGTGTTTGGCGACAGCGGGAGAGCTAACAAGTGAACATCAACTGAACAGGCACAAGGTGGACTCTGTGCATCATAGAAGTGGGACTTACTGTTTACCGTGTGTTAAAACACTGTGTTTATCAAGCTCGTCACCCCGCTTATCGTGTTTTATCAATTGACCTCTTATCGCTTATCGGAGCTCCATGGTCTCAAAAAATTTGGGATTCGCAAACCGGACGAGACTCGAATTGGAGAATTGAAGGACGCTCGGTCCACTGCTGGCCTTCAGTGCTCTCCAGCAGTTGTCACTACCAATTTTCTGTGTCTTCCACTGGCATGTCTCCATTCCCATTTTCTTCGGCTTAACAACATCACCACCACACAACAGCTCACACACAAAATGGAACCAGGATCAGCAAAACGACGAAAGACTGGCCACTCGCGCGGTGAAAGCGCAGTTGGCAACATCGATGCGGCTGCTTCCTCCGGTCTCTCCCGTGGCCGCGCATTCATCCTCGAAGCCGAAGAACTCCTCGACGAAGTGAAGCTCGACTATGCGACCGCCCTCGAAGGTGTCGATTCTCTCCTCCACAAGATCAAGGGCTCCATCGAAGCCATCGAAACACACGACGCGCTCCAGATCGCCGAGGCCGCCACCAAACTCGAAAAGAAACACAAGATCCAGATCCCGTTCCCCGAACCGCGTCCATCCAAAGAGTCCAACTACAAGGTCGCCTTCGCAAAGCCTTCCCAGTTCAATGTTGTCGGCAGCTATGTGTCCAAGACCATGATCAAGGCCCAGAAGAGCCATGCTGTGGATATGGTGGTCGTTATGCCCGGAGAGACTCTGCAAGAGAAGGACTATCTCGACCTGCGATACTTTTACAAGAGAGCCTACTTCCTCGGTGTGGTTGCCGCTTCTCTACAAAAGCACTTGGCTGAGGATGGAGAGCTTTCATACGAATATCTGAACGGGAACCCTCTGTCCCCGATTCTGTCGTTGAAACCAAAGGTCGAAGGAGAAAAGAAGGAGGGCCGACTGGACTACAGAGTGCGCATCATCCCTTGCGCCCCCGACAACTTCTTCCCCAAATCCAAGCTTCATCTGGGTGCTACCCTCGTGCGCAAAGCTGGTGGTGAAGACAAGGCCGCGACCAAGCCTACGCCATTCTACAACTCGACTGTTATTTCCGAGTCTTGCTTCTTCCCCTACCTGAAGCTCTTGCGACAAACCGAAAAGAAATGCGCCGCGTTCAAGAAGGCTTGCATCCTTGGTCGGGTATGGTTGCAACAACGAGGACTGGGAAGCGACATGGCGGATGGTGGTTTCGGTCACTTTGAATGGACGGTACTTCTGGCGCTTCTGCTCCAGAGCGGCGACAATACCAGAGGCCATGCGCCCTTGTCGACATCCTTGAGCGCCACCCAGCTGTTCAAGGCCATGATCCAGTTCTTGGCTGTTACTAACCTCTCCGAGAAGCCGTGTGTTCTGGGCACTGCCACCGTCGAGACGGAGACCGCTGGTCCGGTTCTGTTCGACGCTGCTCGTGGGTTGAACGTTGCCTTCAAAATGAGCAACTGGTCCGCCGGTAAGCTACACCAACACGCCAGGTGGACGAGGAACCTTCTCAACGACAGCACTGCCGACCAGTTCACCCCTACCTTCATTCTCAAGGCCGACCTCCCCTGGCAAAACTACGACCTTATTGCCCACCTCAAGTACGATGCAAAGCAGGACAGGACGCAACCGACCGACTGCCGTGGACGGGTATGGGAGTACAGCGACAAGGCGTACAGGGTGCTCAAGCGGGCTCTTCAGGACGAGGAACTGGGTGAGAGGGCTAGGTCGATTCACATTCAACTACCCAAGAGCTCATCCTGGGAACTCACCAAGAAGCCTTCAACAAAGCAGAACCACACCGTCGAGATTGGTGTCCTCTTCAACGCCGCCAACATGACCCGCGCCGTTGACCGTGGTCCGGCTGCTGGACCCAGCAACGAGGAAAAGGAGGAATGTGCCAAGTTCCAGAGATTCTGGGGTGAGAAGTCGGAACTTCGTCGTTTCGAGGGTGACTCCATCAGGGAAACCTTGATCTGGTCGTCCACCTCCGCCTTTGACCTCTGCGAGGAGATCATGCGTTACATCCTCAAGCTCCATCTTCGCGTTGGGTACCTCGAGGACGAGCTCACCTTCCACGGCGACGGCTTCACCGAGCTGATCCCCATCAAGACGACCGACACCTCCGTCTTCAATGCCGCTCGCAAGGCCTTTTCCTCCTTCGAGAAGGATATCCGCAACCTCGACGACATGCCGCTGCACGTCAGGCAAATTGCCCCCATCTGCCCCGAACTGCGACACGCCTCCGTCAAGGTGCCCTTCTCCACCGTCTCCAAATCCGGCCCCCGCCCACTTGAATGCGTCATCTCCTTCGAAGCCTCGGGCAAGTGGCCCGAATCCATCGTCGCCATCCAACGCACCAAGATCGCCTTCCTGCGCATGATCGGCGATCTCCTGGAGCGTTCCAAGCCCGGCGAGGTCCGCAGCTACGTCGGTCTCGAGTCCTCCACCACCACCAACACGGAGCTCGAAAATCTTGCCTACCTCGACATCGTCTACGAGTCCGGCCCTGCCTTCCGTCTGCGCATCCACTCCGACCTCGAAGAGGCCCTTCTCACGCGCCAGTCCCACGACAAGACCATCGACCAACACCACCGCCACCAAGCCTCGGTGCTGCTTTCCAACTTCCGCAGACTCTACTACCACCTCCCCCTGCACACCCAATCCATCAACACCTTCGCCACGCGCTTCCCCGCCTTGTCGCCCACCATCCGTCTCCTGAAGCACTGGTTCTCGTCCCACAAGCTCTCCTCCCATTTTAGTCCGGAATTCATCGAGCTCGTCGCCCTGCAGGTCTTCCTTTGCCCCTATCCCTGGGACAAACCCTCCTCCCCCTCCGTCGGCCTTCTCCGCGCCCTGCTTTTCCTCAGCAGATGGGACTGGCGCTCCGAGGCCCTCATCGTCGACACAAACGGCGACATGCCCTCTGCCGAACGTTCCGCAATCTCTACCCGTCTCGAAGCCTGGCGCAAGATCGATCCCTTGATGAACCACACCGTTTTGTTCGTCGCCACTGCGCAAGAATCTTCCGGTGTAGCCTACACGACCGTTAACGGCGTCGCGCAACCGAGTAAGGTCGTCGCCGCAAGAATGACGGCCCTTGCCAAGACTGCCTGCCGCGTCATCCGTGAGGAGGGCGTAGAGTTGGATGCTAGACGCCTGTTCGTTCCTAGTACGAAGGAATATGATGTCCTTTTCCACCTTTCTTCCAAGGCTCTCAAGTCCGTGGGTAAGGTTTACCCTGGCGAGGACTTGACTACCACCAATACCAAGGCCAACGGCGGAAGTAAATACAAAAAACTTGTCAACAACAGCAGGCGAAGACCCCCTCCCTCTTCCTTTGTCACCAATCGACACCTTCTTTGAGAAACTCGAGGCCATCTATGGCAGCGGTAGCTCTGCTCCCCTCGTTTTCTTCAGAGGAGGCGAGGATGAGAAGGTTGTTGGAGCTATTTGGAACCCTACACTTGGAAAGAGGGCGTTTAAGGTTAACTTGGGGACGTCGTATAAGCCCGTGGGCGCTGCTGGAGTTAGTGGGAAGAAGAGGAAGGGTGGGGATGAGGATGGAGAGGAAACTGAGAATGAGGGAGAAGTGATGGTGGAAGTCAACAGAGATGCCATCTTGAGCGAGATTGCGAGGATAGGAGGGGAGGTTTTGGAGAGGGTTGAGGCGCAGAGGGAGTAAGTGGACGAGTTAAGCCACGGTGGAATGGGTGATGTTGTTATAGATGTCGTGGGATGCTTAGATATACCGAGATATGTACCCTTGTGTAAAGTTGAGGGAGGTACTGAGGGTACTGGGGGTACTGAGTAATTGTCATATCGCATTTTTGGTTAGGGTAGGAAAAAGCAACAGCAAAATGGAATCTAGCTTATTTAAAAAATTTAAAATTTAAGTACCTCTTTACCAGAGAGGATTGTATGTATGATCGGTATGGAATTTTCCCAGTGGTAATTTGTGTGACCATCCATTTCCTCCTCTCATGCACCACCAACCACCAACCCAAAACCCGATCCGCGTATAATATATTCTCAGTTGTCTATAGGTATCTCGTTTTTCTAAGGTTCTGGGCCCGTTAGGAAGAAAAGCAAATAGAATCCAAGAAAAAAAATGGATTACTTCTTGTATGCTGTTCATTATATGATAGTCTCTCGCTGGCTGAAGCTTAGTCTCTTGCTGTTCGTTGACTTTGTTAAGTATGACCAAGATTAACTACCAAGGTTAACTACCTACCGAGACTACCTACCTACCTACCTACCTACGTTACCTACCTGCCTACCTTACCTGATTACCTACCTGACTACCTACCTTACCTCCGTCTCTCCTCTCCTCTCCTCTCCTCTCCTCTCCATACATAGGTAGCTGAGAAATATCATTATCTAACCTTCTTCCCGATGATCCTCGCTTCGTTCCAGGTTTTTTTTCTTCACCCTCATTACATAACTTCAAAACAAACTCGATGCATCATGTTAAAGGATTTGTTTTGTTCGGGGGGGGGGGGGGGGGGG